TCCGCCCGTCTGCCCCGTTCTCCCTCATACTAATTAGCAAAGAGCGGACGTGTTCGCGCCCCTAAAAGGCAAATAAAACAAGAGCCAAAGAAGGCGAGCAAACCTCCAACCGAAGCAAAGGACGGCGAAAGCCCTGAGGGCTGCAAGTCCGATCAACAAACCAAGGCGGGTGGAAATCAAGAGTGACGCGTGCGCCTCGACGCGGTGCGACGCGGTGGACGCGGTGCGCCGTCGCCATCCTGGCCGAGTTCATCTCGGGGGTCCTCGAGCAACAAATGGCGCGCTCGCCGGTTCCATCAGACTTGCAAAACCGACTTGCCATCAGGGGCCGGGGCGAAAAGCGGAGCACAGCGGAGGCAAGCTGGAGCACCACGCGCGGGGAGCACAGCGGGGAGCAGAGCGGAAAACAAACACAGCGGACAGCAGCACATAGCGGAAAGCGGGCCAGAGCACGCGGGCAGCGCCGGACAAGGACAGGAGTCACAGCCCCGGGGCACAGGCGGCAACAACAGGAGGCACAACAACACCAGCCCGGAGCGCCATGCGAGCAGCCAGTCGGGAAACTAAAACGACGCCACGTATTGCAACATTTTGGCCGAGCAACAAATGGCGCGCTCGCCGGTTCCATCAGACTTGCAAAACCGACTTGCCATCAGGCCGCGCGGAGCGGAGCACAGCGGAGCACAGCGGAGCACAGCGGAGCGCGGAACGCCTGGACACAAAAGCCCAACGCAGCCGGCCAGGCAGGCAGCCAGGCAGCCAGCCAGTCTGGCGAAATGAAAACGACACAGCACGCCATTGGCGAACATTGGCCGCACTAACGCCACCTCAGGGCCTCAAGGCCGGCTCCAGGCTCCAGGCCACTGCAGGCTCATCTAGGCTCGCTCAGACGCCCAGACTCCAGCCGGGCTCCGGGCGGTCCAGGCGGCGCTCTAGATCCGGAGGAAGCCAGTCGCTGCAGAGTGTGCCGCCGCCCCGCCACGCCGCCCCACGCAATGCGGCCGCCATTCCTTCATATTCATTTGGGGCCGAACGGGCCGGCGCTGTGCGCGCTGTGCGCGTGGCGCCTTGAAAAAGCGAAAAGCACAAGAGAAGCCCGCCCGCTGCCGCAACCATGGCAGCCCTCCCCCCTTTTCCCTTCCAGCCATTATTGCTGGAGCCCCGCGAGGCCTTCCCCTTGGTGCCCGCCGTGCCCGCGGCGAGGCGCCTCCCCCCACCCCGCGGTGCTCGCGGTGCCCATGGAGCGCGCCGCGGAGCCGCGGAGCGCCACCGCCCGGCTCCCCGGCCGTCCCGGCTGGGCTCGGCCGGAGCTGCGATCCGCTCGTCCGGCCCGTCGGCCCCTTCAAGCCGCGCGGCACGGCGGCACGGCGGCACGGTCCGCGCAGAGCTCGCGGAGCGGCACGTTGTGCAACGTTACTCAACTGCGGGTAACAGCACGGCGGCCGGGATGGCTGCCTGCCTGCTCGGCCGGCCGCCTCACCTGCCCGCCAGCCCCGCCAGGCCGCCTCTAGGTCTGGGCCTGGATCGTAACGACGTTTCAATGCCGCGGGTACCAGCGCCACGGCATGGAGGCGTGGAGGTTCGTCGCGGTGCCCACCCCCTCCCCCCTCGCTTCCCCGCGGCGTACCACCCCCACACACACTGCCGCACAGAGCCACACATGCCCAAAACGAGTCATGTTTTCTGATAACGCTGTTGGCAAGTCAATCTCCGAGCTGGCGGTCTCCGCGCCAGACTTGACCCTGCGCCGCGCGCGCGCGACCCTGGTCTATATTCCAGCCGCAGCCACCCGGTCACGCAGAGCAGAGCAACCCGCGCGCCAAAAACGCCACCGCGGGCAAAGGGGTTTCGAACCCGGGCCTATCGGTACTGGCACGCGCCTCGGCGGCCTACTTTGGCCGTGCCAGGGCTGCCCCGTGGCTGCCCCGTGGCTGCCCCGTGGCTGCCCGGGCCGGGGTGCCAGCCTGCACCATATTTCCCACCCCCGCTGACGTCACAGCCATCGCGGCGTGTCGCGGCGCTGCGCGTGGCCCGGCTCGGCTCGGCGGCCCCCGCTGCTCCGCTCGGACGGGGTCCGCGCTCCGCGCTCCGCGAGCGCCAGAGCCTTTCAAGGCGGCCGGGACCGGCTGCGGGACAGCCTGCGCGACGAGGTGCATCATGGGGACGGGCGGGACGGGGCCCTGAGTCACGCCGTCACCGGAACAGGCCGTCCCGTCACCTGCGGGCCGCGCAGCGGCGCAGCCCAACGCGTGGCTTGCTTCGTGCCCCTGGTGGCCGTCGGGTTGCCGTCGGGCTGCCCCGCCATTCGGGGAAACGGACCCCATTTCCCGCGCATTTCCACGCAAGCGGGCGCGGCGTGCGCGTCACGCAGCGTCACGCAGCCACGGGGCGATCGGGCGGGAGCACGCGCACGCACGCACACACACACACACACACGTGCGTATTCGCACGCTTCGTCATCCCAACACGATGGGCTATCAGCCACGGCGCGGCGGGCAGCAGCAGCACGGAGACCCGGCCACCCTGGCGCCCCGCCCCGCCCCGCCCCGCCGCCCCGCGCCCCGTCACGCCCCGCCCCGCCACGCCACGCTAACGGCTTAGTGGGTCAGTGGGACAGCGGCGAGGACGGCGGAGGAGCGTGCAGTGGCGCGGGCGCGGGGCCTGGCGGGGAGGGGCCGCGGCGTGGGGGAAGGAGGGGAGGGGGCACCAAGGGAGGGAGGGAGAGAGAGGGAGAGAAGAGCGCGGCGACAGTGTGAGGAAGGGCTTCCCTTAGGGGCACTTCGCTCGCCGACACACACACACACTCTTCGACACGCAACCCTTCTTGGGGCATCTCTTTGAGCTCGCCGCGTGGGGCACGGCCAAAGGCACGGCCAAAGGCACGGCGGAAAGGGGGAAATGGAGTGGTGGAAGTGGAAGGGGCTCGAGTCGTCACGCGAAAAAAAAAATCCGCCGCGTGGATACGACATCGTCAAACGGTCTCGAGGGGCCGAAGCGGGCCGAAGCGACGTCACGGAAGCACCACCACCACCTATGCACGCTCACACACACACAGTGACAAACTCCATCCCGTCCTTGTTCCGGCACACGCAAACCCAATTGCTTGTCCGGGGCACTGGAAGTGCTCGGGGGCGGCTCACTGCGGGGGCGGCCCTCGCCGGCCAGGGAGGCTGCAGAAAGGCCGCCGAGCCATCCGAGACCCACGTCCACGCTCCTCGTGGGCATCGCTGGCCGGCCTGGCCGCGGGCCGCGGGGCGCCAGGCCCGCCTTGACTCCGCTACCGTAATTTGTCCAAAACCATAGCGGCTCCTAGCGTTGGGCAACTCGCCCGGCCCGGCCCAGCTCCGGCGGGTTGGGCTGTGCGGGCCGTGCCCGTTGGGCCGGCGGGGAAGTGGCCAGGGCGGCGCGGCGGGGTTCGGGCGGCCCGCGCAGACTTTCCATCTTGGTTCGCATTCGGGGCCGCGAGGCCCGCGCAGCCGCGCACCGCCATCCCCTCCTCGTCAACTTTTGATTGGCCTCCGTGACGCCATCTTCGACGTCATCCTCCAGCCAGACGTGGCCCGGCGGCCAGCGGGGCGGGGCTGCTGTGAGAGCAGCAAGCTCGACAAAATACGTACACGCAAATGCACACATACATACACACACACACACGCGCGCGCGCGCAGCGCCAAAAAGAAATATCTAAAGCAAAACCGCAACCAACAAAAAAAACTTAAATTTCAAATTGCAATGCAAGGCGACCCCGCCCTTTGACGCCCCTTTCAAGGTTTGCCGAACTCGGCCTCTTTCTATTCGAAGGGCTGGCCCCGCCCCGCCCCGCCGCTAGTTCCCTGTCGCTGAATACAACTTTGATTGCCGCGGCCGCGGAGGCTGCGGCACGGCGGCACACTGGCGACACATGATCCGGCACGGCTCCGTCGAGGGCCACCGGGAGGCCAAAACGGAGAGACCGCCCCCTGGTGGGGAGCTAAATCCGCTCCACAAAAAAAAAATTTTGAAAATTGTAGGCGCTGCGCCTTCTACCGAACACCGAACAAACATTCTCGCGGTCTAACACAAAAGGGCAACCGGCAAGCCAGCCGGGCCGGGAGCGAGAGAGACAGAGCGACAGGTGCGGAATCTGGGAGCGGAAGAGACTTGGATGCCTGGAGTCCACGAGGGATCGATCGGGCAGGCGCCAATCGTGTGGCTCCTCCATGGCCTAGCGCCGCCTGGCGCCGCCCGCCGCCACCAGCCGCGGGTACCCGAGGGGCAAGGGGCGTCACACAGTGGGCCAGAAGCAGGTGGAGGCGGACGAAACTCTAAACGCGTTTTGAGCTCCAGAGTCGCTAAATGAGACTCGAACCGAACGTGTGACCCCACCAATGGATTGCTCTCCGAACGAGGAATCCATTGGTGGGGTCACACGTTCGGTTCGAGTCCCATTTAGCGACTCTGGAGCTCAAAACGCGTTAAGAGTTTCGTCCGCCTCCACCGGTCTTCTGGCCCACTGTGCGTCAGACGGCCGCAGCAACAGCAGGCAGGCATGCACACCAACAATCAAGCGCAGCAAAAGCGTAAACGATTCCTAAAAGTGAATTTTAAAAAAAATTAAAAAAGGAAATAATACTGGTACTAACGAAACGAATAACAATGAATACGTGTGTATGAACTACGATTGCCACTCTAAAACACACTCACGACCTACACTTCTAAGGAATTGCACGTGAAGATTAAAACAGCAATACAATGTGACACAATTAAAAAATATTTAGAGGGCACGATTCTGTGCTTAAATTACGTACGCAGTCTGTAAAGGGCAGGCGAACCTCAAAAGTGAGCGTTTCGACAGAATTTCCATGACACTGTAAAAATACTGCTCCGCAAAAATTCGTCGCCGTGGACAAGGGCCGTTGACAGACGCGTTTTTCGTTTTGTGTTTATTATTTCTTTTCAGCACAGAATTGATTGCCATCCCCTAATTATTTTGTTCTAGGTTCTGAGCGACACACAACACTCACCGAGCGAGCGGCCCGTCACCAGCGTGGTGGTTCACGGTGCTTCACCTACGCACACAGACAGTGTGTCAGACACCTCGTCAGGCATTGGCGGCGACGGTCACGCGCGCGCACGCGGCGCACGCGGCGCACGCCGTAAGGGCCGTAAGGCGCCAAACTAGTTTACGTGCAAATTCCAGTGCGGGCGACGCAATATCACTCTAATAAGTGGTTCCAAACACAGAGTGTGAAGGGAAACAAAGAAAAACGCAAGGACGCGAGGCGGGCGAAGGCGCGCCCAAAATACAAGCCAATTAATGCATGAATATTCAGAGTATATATACTCGCGAACTCGACCCAGTCCTTGGAGTCCCAAGCCCAGAGGGGCCCACACTTTGGGAATCTCCCCCGCCCCTCGCTTTCCGACTTGATCGAATTACAAGGACCGAGCGCGGGGTCCTCGTTAAACGCGTCGGGAGGGTCCAATTTCTCGGCAAATGAAACCTTGTTTTTTTCGTCGTTTGTTTTGAGCCCTGTTCTCTCTCTATTCTTGTTATCATTTCGACGCGGTTGAGTCTAGACTTTCGGTGGGGCCGAGGTAGACTTACCGTCATGCACCGGTGGGAGGATCCGCGGGGGCCTCCTCGGGGACAGGTCACCTGGCGAAACAAAAGCAACAGTTAGCCAAACCAGGTGCGCAGTGTGGCTGCCGAGGTGGCTGCCGTGGCCGCCCTGGCTCGGGGCACCCGCGGCGCCGTCGGACTCCGTGGGTATGCAGTCCCGCGGCGCGGGGCCGCGCGCGGCCCGCCAGACTGCCTACCCGCCAGGCGTACGGCCTCCACGCCCCGCGGCCCCGCGGCCTGCTGGACAGCGCAGCGCGGGCCACGCCGCCACGCCACCACGTAGGCCACCGAGTCGGAGACCGTCGAGCACGACGTTCTGGCCGGCCTGGGCCTGGGTCCGCCTGGGTGCGCCACGGCGTGCTTGGAGTGCTGCGCGCTGCGCCACTGCAGACGGCGTTCTGGTAGATAAGCCCGGGGCTCTTCAAGCTCAAGAGCGCGGGGCTAGTGGCAGCACGCGGCATCGCAGGCACGGTGCAGGCACGGCCGTGAGCACGTCGTCCAACGGGCCGCGGAGGAAGGGGCGCTCCGGTCCTGCAGTCCGTGCAGTCCGCACGCGTGCAGAGGGCTCCGATGCTGCCGCCGCTGCCGCCAGAGGGCGCGTCGAGGTCCACCACCGCGTCGACGGCGCCGACGCCAAGCAGTGCCGTGCCATGCCACGCCAGAGCGCTCGCCGTGAGAATATTAAAACCTCTGTCACGCCGAATTTGCCTAAACACCAGGCGGCGAGCACGTCCGCCTAGGCCGGCCGAGCCCCATTACGCCAAGCCCCTCATCTTGGTGAGCAACCGGCTCATCTTAATAAAACACCTGCCAGCCAACCACCTGCAGGCCGCGCCCCGCCTTCGATTCGCGCGGCGTCGCGGCGGGCGTCGCGGTGCACACCGCGGCCCGGCCAGTCAGACCGACACAACAATGTCCGGGAAATGAAATGAGCGCGCCTCGGCCACCCTTTCCACGCACCCGGATATCCCATTTCGAGACCTCGTTCGAGACCTCGTTCGAGACTCGAGACGACGACGCGAAGTGCGAATAGAGGCGGCTAGGCTTCTCTAGAGGCGGAGCGGGCGGCGGAGGGAGGGCATACAGTGCCGCGGCAAGTCGTCCCGTTGGACAGACTCGCTCGCTCGCCCGCTGCAGAGCGCTTTTTGGCACTTGAGCCGCTTCAGTTCAGGCCCCCTTCATCTGCCAGGCCAGATCTGTGCCCCCTCCCCCCGTCGCGCGACCATCCCATCTCGATAAGGGCAGAAAGTGCTCCGGCCTCCCCTAACAGGACTCGCAGCGGAAGGCGGGCCCGGCCCGGCAGCAGCGGCAGCGCAGCGCAGCGCAGCGGCGCCCAAAAAGAGCCGCTTCCAAAACAAACAAAAAACAAACTGCGCGGAAAAACGACGAACCGTGGCACTTCCCTCAAGGGTTCGAATTACAGGCGAGCGCGCGCCAAACCCGCCAGGCGGGCCCCTAGCCAGGGACTTCCCCCGAAGACATGTCCACCTCCATTTGCGCCTTGCAGGGACAGGGCTCACCGTCGCAGGGCCTGGCAGGTCGTAAGGGCAGCAGAGGGGTGCAGGGCGTAGGGCGTAGGGCCGTAGGGCCGCAGGGGGTGGACTCCACCCGCGGAGGGCACTGCAGGGCAGCGCAGGGCAGCACAGAGGGCAGCGCGGCATACGGGTCGATAGATACACCGCAAGTGCAACCACGCGACGTCACCCCACCCCACCCCCACGGGCCTGGGGCTGGGCCCCACACTGCCATCCCTTTCCCTGCGTGGCGCAGCGTGGCGCGGCGTGGCGTAGGTACAAGCGGCCCCCTCCCCCTCCCCCACGCGCGCACACTCACGCTCACTGGCACACGCGCACACAGACACACGGACACGGACGTCATTTAAACGTAACGCAAGCCAGCAGTCACTTCCATCAATCATTCACAGCATCGCAACGTGAAGAATAATTTAGAAAACAGGTGAAAAATAAAACACGCCCACGAGAGAAACATGAAAGGGGGAGGGGAGAGAATTTCCGATGCTAGGCAATATGCAATAACCCACACCCTCTCATTCTATTATACTTTTTTCCGCGTGGAAAAAAAACTACAGCGGCATCACTTGTGTAAATAGAAAAACTAGTGTACCCTCACTGTACAGCACAATCTTTCATAGTGTGCTAGTATCAGGAAATAATCAGACCAAAGAGATAGTCCCAAATTAGCCTTTGTTGTCTAGGTCCGGGTCGTACAGTACAGTATTTCCTGCACATGATTAATTTCAGAAAATATACATCATTTTTGGGAGGGAGGGGGCATTGTAAATTGAACCAGCCTTATTTCTTTACTAAAAAATACATTTCTAGAAACTTAAAGATTACTTATCTCACAGAACTAAGCAGAAAGGTTGGGGAATTTTTTAACCATTTGACCAATACATTTTTACCATTTACCAATTCACAACCTGCATCATTTGCAGAGGCAAATGAAATGTGTGCCTCAGAAAGGACTCATAAAGCACCCATTATTAAAATTAGGATTTAGAAAAGTATACACAATACCTAATTATTAATTAAAATCCTGAATAAGGAGTACATTTCATGCAGCGAAAAACACTATTTCCCCATGACACACATGCTAAACTGCCGTTGATGAAGACGTTACATAAAAACACAGAGTATACTCAAAACTTTAGAACCACAGTGAGGAGCGCGAAACCAGAAACAGGAAAATTGGAAGTTTGAGAGCTAGAATAATTGCAATATCGCACCACATCATTCTGTGAATTTTCTCAAAACAAACAGGTGTGGGAACCCTAACCTAAAAATTTGACAACATTAAAAGCATGTCAATAACAATAGAATAGTTACAGAAGGAACTCTCGCAGACCATGCCACAATATTAGACAGTGCATGTCAGATTTAACAAAAACAAGGAAACACAAATCTTTACTAATAAGAATAAAAAAGAGTAACAGATGTGAAACACCAGACCCAAAACAATAGAAATACATGAAAATAATTGCACAATAGTCCTAAGAGACCTCAAAAAAATTGAAACAAACAATTATTTACAATATTTGAGGATCGGAAAGCTGTAAATCACTACGCAATGTCTAGAATTCTCATTGGGAGCACGGATCATGACAAGATGTTGGTCAAGGTTATGGCAGAAAATTCAAAGTGAGAGAAACATCTATAAAGTCATATTCAATATAAGATAACATTCAGAAACTTTTCAAACTAACTGTACAGCCGAGCATAAGCTTAAAATGTAATTCTCATCATTCATAAACTAATAGTTCTGATTTATAGGTTGGGTTCTCAAGACAGACAACCAAGACCACTTGCATTTCAACACAAACAAACCACTGTAGAAACACTGCTGTACAGAAACTCGATCAATTCTACTAATGTAGATGAGATAAAATGTAAAATAAAACAATGAAGCATTCCGGTACATAATAATGACCATCACGCACAATGTAAACAATCGATCTCAATTGTCACACAGTTGTAAGACAGGTGGACCAAACGTACACTAAGATGAAACTAGCTCTTTAGGGCATGACAAACTTACTGAAAAACATTTTCAGCTGATCTAGTCATCCACAAAAACCATCTGACCAGGTGTTTCTTTGTCGACAAGCAGCCAAGTCACCTGTGACCAATGTCGCAGACATGGTCGACAGCACAAGTGTCAGGAGGGAGAGGTGACCAAGTGACAGGCCTGCTGCCAGGGTGTGCGTGACACATACAGGGGGCTGATGCGCCCCTGCACCAGGAATACTTACAGTGCATGCCTGCAGTAGCAGCAGTAGACCCAGGGGCACTGCTCAGCCCTAGGGCTGCCCCAACGGCCTGGTGCCTGGAGTCGCAGCTCGGATTGGGTCGACCTGGCTCGGGGCTGCGGTGCCCGGACCAACCCAGCGTCCACACACAAGCACAGCGCACAGGGCCGGGCTTAACCTCGGCAAGGGTCCACTTGGCGTTGAACGGGGCCGGGACTCGGGGGTGGCCTTTGCCGGGGCCTCACAACACCTCACACATTCCAGGGAGCTCACAGACCATCGCAGTTTCAAGGTCCTGTTATCAACCACAGTCCGCTAATGCCAGGCTCCAACGCACTGCACTGGCACTCGATGGGCGGACACAAGTCACTGCCGAACGCCACGGCCGCTCGACGAACACACGCAAAATAACACCACTGTAAATACGAGTTGTAATTAAATCATGGCACATCAAGACAGAGTAGTAAAACTCAATACAATATGGCTGCGCGATTGTCAACTATTTTACGAAAGCAGCCAGGATTTGTTGACCCTGACAGACACTTTTGTAACGGCGCCTCTGATTGGCCGGCTTTTCAAAACACTGCCGCTGGTTGGTCGAGAAGGGGACATCTCAAGGTCGGGGCCGGTAGTGCCAATAGAATGTATGACACAGCTCAGCACACTAAGTGTGGGATAGAAACCCGACTTGGGTCATTTCTATCCGTGAAAGCAATCCAAATCCTAAATAAATTCAAGAAGAACAATGAAGGCAGCTCAAGCCTCCAATATACGTCGCTGAGGCAGTTGGATTTTCTTGCAGTGGGTTGGTAGAGCTCTCGGAGCACAGACCGGCAACACGGCGCGGGACTTTTGAATCATCTGACTACTGAGAATGACGTCATCATACGTACGAGTCGGGGGGACGACACTGAACTTGTTAGTACGCTACGTTGAGCCGATGTCATACAGTAGCTGATCAAAATTTGTGTGCTTATTGCCTTTTTTCGTTCACATGCAGTAAAAGGTAGACTTCTAGATGAAGACCAAGACCCTTCATTTTGTGTCCCAAAGTTCATTAATGAGTTTTTGTTTATGCTACTGACTGAAACAACTGCGTTTGAAACGAATGAACTCCATCAACTGTCAGTCACCTAGTTCGCGACCTTTACGGTCCAAACTTTGTCAGGAGCGAACTTTTCGCGACGACACGTTGCGCAATCAAGGCCCTCTCTCTCTCCCCTAAAAAATACGACAAAGAAACTTTTCCAGCGACACAGTGATTTGCCAATTGCAATGAAAAGGACTGGGCCCCGCTCGGTGCGCCGTGCGCTTCGCCTTTCCCAACGCGCAACAGGCTTTTGGCCTCGACCAGCGAAACCGTCACGTCACGCGGCCACGGCGGCCACGGCGGCCACGGCAGCCACGCGCACGTTGGGATGCCTGCCTAGGCCGCCGCCAGGCGCGCGCACCGCACCGCGCGCCCGATGGGTGGCCTACCCTGCCGGCGCTCCGCCACCACCACAGCTACCACAGCAGACAGCACGCTTTACTCTTTACTTTGATTGGGTTGGTCAACTGAGGAGGAGGTCAATTGAAACGAACAGGACCAGGGCTTTATCAAGTTAAGGATTCTGACCTATTCTGACTCTGTCGATGACTCAAGCCCTATTACACATGCTCGTGTGTCGCATCAGTCGCGATCGTCGAGTCAACGAGTCAGATGGTCGAATCCTTAACTTGATACAGGACCAAAATTTCCCAGAAGAATATATGCGTAGTATTTCTATCGATATTTCAGGAATATAAATATGAGTAGGTTCTTTGAGAGGTCGGTCTACTGATGATCTGAAGAATGCCAGGACGTTGAGGAAGGCCTTTGGCAACAGCTGGATTGGATGCAGTAGCCGCCCAAAGTTAGCAAAAACAGCTCCTTTCAGATATGCAATTACTTTACTCGACACGTCTAGTTTTCTTATAATATTCACACATATTCCTCGGCCAAATGTATGTGGTGGGGTGGGTTTCAAAAGGGATGGATGTGCTTCGCTTGGGAATAAGTTCATTTGTTTTGAAATAATATCGTTTTATTTTACACAGTTTAGCATTTTACATTCATGAAATGCATGCTTAGGCGCACTTTGTTCACTGTTTGAATGACAAGATGTGCATTTGGTAATGTTGCTAGTTTATCACAATTACAGTCGAACAGGCATCACCAACACGTCTCTGCCCATTATTAATCTAATTCGTAGCTCTATTATCGTAATTACAGACATGTACACAGTACAAAATATTAATTTAACACAGAACGTTAGCTTGGAACCGTCTTGAGGGCGCCGCGGAGGAGAGCCTGGCTACACCTGGGTGTGGCGGTAGTCCCTCGACCTCCAGCTCATGGCGTCGCTGCTGGGCCTCTCTGAAACAGTGAAACAGCACGGGGGAAAAGTGAGAAAGGACTTCTTTGATTAGGACGTGTCGAGACTTCCCAGGCACCTCGCGCCGACGCGCCGTGGAGGCGGTGGCGCGGCTGGCACGGCACTGTGCGCATCGGCGCCGTCAGCCGCCAGGTCACGGATGCAAGTCGACCGCAGTGACACCTGATTCGCCGGCCCGAATGATTCCGAGCCGCGTTTCGCCGCTCCGTCCCTCTCACACCTCGACGAAACGCCCCCGAGTGCGAGGGAGACAGCGTGACGAAAGACTGTCCCACAGTCCGACACCTCGACAAACACACTTCCCACCGTACTGTACTTCCCCTCCCCACCCCACCCCTCCCCTCTCTTTCCATCCCCTCTGGATCCGCCCCGTGCTGGAATCGTCAATAGCCGACGCAACCTTGGTCGACCTGCCCTGGACAGGGTTCTCACGGGGAGCAGGGCGGTCCACGGGTCGGAGATATCGCGGCCATTGGGGGGGGGGGGCTCCCCGGCCCCACAGGGGTTGGTACTGGATTCTGACCTGCAGCCATGAAGAACACGTCGGGGTTCAGCCTGTGATAGACAGGCTGGCGTGGCGGTGGCCCCCCGTGCCCCCCGTGCCCCGCATGGCCCCCGCCCAGTAGCTCCGCCATCGGCGAGGCCATCGGCGTGGGGTGCGACCCGGGGGCGGGCGGCGGCTGGTAGGGCGCTGCCGGGGGCGGCACGGGCGGCGGCGGCCCGGCGCGCGGGGGCGGCCGGTACGTGGCGGGGGCGGAAGGGGGTGGCTCGTCTGTCAGCACTGCAACCAGAACCAGAGCGCCAACCGTCAAAACAAAAATGACTCCTGTTCCGATTCCAACAAAGCTGCAGTTTCTACCGTAAGGCCCGCCGGTTGAGGCAACTTCTCGGGATAACTAAGTCTCGATATTGCCTAGAAGGCAACCAGCCTCTTGGAAACAGGTGCATCGTTATGAAGTTGAGCCCTCTCGTGCTTCGCCACTGCACTGTCGCTTACGTTGAGGTCTACGCTGGAAGGAAGTCCAGAAGTCCTCCCGGCCCCGCTCCTGGTCCCGCTCCTGGTCCCGCTCCTGCTGCTCACGGTTCCTGTCGCGCTCCTGCTCCTCCAGGCGCCGTCGCAGCAGCACCTCCACGCCCGGCGACATGGACAGGGACCCTGCGGACAGAACGGGGGCGTCAACATTTCGGACTTATAGTGTATCCGCCGGATGCTCGGCGTGGTACACTGGCAACGCCGGCAACGCCTGGAACGCACCCTCGCGATGCAGCGAGCCCGCCCACTCGCACGGCATGGGGTGCCTGCTCTCGTACAGGGCGCGCCGGCGTTCCTTGCTGGTCAGGGTGCATTCCTGGAACAGGGAGACGAGACGCACGTGTAAGGCTCTGCCAGGTACAGTGCAAGGCGCGGCGCACAGCACGGGTGGGATAAGCCTTCCCGTCCTCAACAAGCGCCTGTCGTCGTCGGCGGGCAACATGCAGTAGGCAAAAAACCCTCCCGTCAAGCTTAGTCTTAAACTTGGGCTTGAGAGGCTGGACCACAGGTGCCATTAATGCGCCAAAAAAATTTGCCTTTTATTTGGTTAAATTTTTAAAACTTTGCTAACGTTTTTTTCTTGTGCACTACAGGCTTTTTTTTTGGGGCGTGATTTCAGATTTGAGCTGGCCGGGTAATAACGCGTCGTGTCGGCTGGCAGCGCTGGCAGCCTTGAAACTGGAAACTCATTGCGCGCCTTCCAGCCGTTCCAGCCCTCCAGTGTGGGGTGCCCTCGCGAGGCCCTCGACAGGAAGTAGAAGCGCCTCTCCAGCGCGCTTCCAGGCTGTCGGGCTTCCAACGCCGGCCCGGGGTCCGGGGCTGCAGGCTGCGTCCGAGACGGAGCACTCGGTCTCTCTCGCACGCGAACGGAACGCGCCCCATGAGTGCGAGAGAGACAGAGAGAGAGACAGAGAGACGGAGCTTGCGAGAGCACGCGCCCTTGGGGTCCTTGGCTCCGGGGCTACTCTGGGTGCGCACTTTTAATTCTCTGCTCCCGACAAACATCCGCGCAAGCGCGCGCAAGCTCTGGCGAGTGCCAGTTTCGCCCTGCCTCCTTCGCGCTCACAGGGATGCGAGAGAGACAGGGCGAGGAAAAGATCTTCCGGAATCACTCGCCAGGTGGAAAAGTTTAGCTCTCGTTGCTCGGCGGCAAAGGCCGGCAGGCCTTTTCGAAATTGCTGCGAGCACGTGGGCATGCCGCGGGCAAGCGAGATGAAGGTTCAGCAGCACGCCAAATCCGGAGCCAAATTCGCGCAAATTCGTCGGCCTGGCCTCGGCCTCGAGCTCGCCGGCTCGGCGTGGATGATTCTTATTTAATGAGGAAAGGGGAGGGGGCACGAGGCGTCTGCCTTTCGCGTGCCGCGGGTCGGGGGCAGCAGTCTGATTCCGAAAGACGCTTAGTCGCCCTTTCTCTCTCGCGCCTATGCGGGACACCCCATGAGTGCGAGAGAGACAGAATAAGTCTGCAGCAGCCGACAGGGGCCCAGCTGCCTCTCCAGCGGCACCCACGCGCCCCGCGGCCCCGCGGGCCACACGGCCGAGGGCGGCAAGCTCGTTCATCACGAGGAAAGTGAGCGCCTCGTCACGCCGTCACGCCGGTGTCACGCCGCGACGGCCCGCCCCGTGACGTGGCGATGTCACCTGCTTCGACTGACAGCGGACTGACGGCCACTGACGTGACGAGACGAGCGGGGCGCGGCCGCACGGCGCGGCCGGGAAGCCAGCCGGTATGAAAAGTGGGTCGGGGGACCCGACCGGGGGGACCGGGCCGGCCGGCCGGGATCATCAGTTTGTTACGAACGGAACGAGAAGTCCGCATCGGCCGCTCCGCCATTGGCTGCCTTTGGCCACCGCGGTGCGTCTTACGTCACACAGCCGGCACAGCCAAGCGGCCAGCGGGCATCATTGTCTCCAGCCAGGCGCCCAGGGCCTGGGCCCCAGGCTCCAGGAGCGCTGTGCCGGGAGTCCAACTCGCGGCCCTCGCACTACCATCTGCGTCTCCTCGCGGCTCTGACCTCGCAGCAGTTCAATTTAGAACAATCGTCGAAAGCCAAAAACCCGCGCGCTTGGCCAACAGCGCTTTTATTTTCGCTCATGGAGGCAATTTACCTGAGGTGACTGACTCCCCCCTCCACAGCGTACCACGGTGTACCACACATTACGAAGCAATGAGGCGGCTCACCGCAGACGCAAGTTGCACCGCAGAGAGCAGCACTGTAGCGGCGCATCGCGATGCCTCGGCGGAGTCTTTGCGGTCTGCGAGACTGAGGACGACGCGCAGCGGGGGTGTTCAATGCCTCCCCCCCCCCCGGCCACGCCGACCGAGCGGCATGTCAATCAGCAGCGCGAGCTCGCGGCAGTGCAGCGGCGTAGCGGCGTCGAACCAAGGCACGAACAAAAGCCGAAGAAAGAGGTGGCGTCCCGGAAAGAGAGAGGGGGAGTGGCAGGGGCAGGGCAGGGGAGGGCACTTTGAAGAAAAACAGAAACCAGAACAACTGCAACGAGCCCGCTAGTCCTCTGGCGAGGCGACTCGAATGGCGACGGCTAGCAGGCTGATTCCGAGAGCCGTTTTCGTCGCTCTGCCTCTCTCGCACTCGTGAGGCGTCCGGTGGAGGGGCGAGAGAGACAGCGACGGAACTGCCTCTCGGAATCAGCCTGCAGGCCTGGCCGGGCCGGGCCGGGCTGGGTCGGACCGGACGAGAGCGCCGCGGAGTCGCGCTCTCTGCTCTCCGAATCGCCGCGGCTTCCTCGCTTCCTTCCTGCCCAGCTCCAGGACTCCAGGACTCCAGGACTCCAGGACTCCAGGACTCCAGGACTCCAGGACTCCAGGACTCCAGGACTCCAGACTCCAGGACTCCAGGACTCCAGGACTCCAGGACACCAGGACTCCAGGACTCCAGGACTCCAGGACTCCAGGACTCCAGGACTCCAGGACTCCAGGACTCCAGGACACCAGGACTCCAGGACTCCAGGACTCCAGGACTCCAGGACTCCAGGACTCCAGGACTCCAGGACTCCAGGACTCCGAGATATCGTTCCGTTGCGACGCCGTTTCGAACAGCGCTTCGTCTCTCTCGCACCTCCGACGGAACGGACCTGGAGTTCGCGAGAGAGGCAGCACGCTGTTCGAAACCAGCTCGCTGGGCGACGCCAACCAATACAACAAGGAGGCCGTCATGGTGACGAGCCAGATGCAAGTCGGTGGCAAGTCGAGTTCCGTTGGCCGTCGGATCGGCGATACGTGGTTTTGCCTTTAATTGCCCGTGCTGCCCACTTACCCGACGGCCGAACCCTAACGGCAGGTAATGGCCGCCGTGATGGACTCGGGGGTCATGAACCCGGCTGCCTGCATCCGCGGCCTGCTCCACGCTGGCGTGCTCGATGTCAGCGTGCTCTATGGCGGCTGGCTCCATGTGAGCGTGCTTCGTTGCGGCGTCTCTATGTCGCCGAGGTCTCTATCGGCGTGCTCTGTCAGCCGCCGCCTCCTGTCGACGAGCTCCACGGCGGCGTTCCCTGCCCCACGGCGGCGCGGGGCGCGGTGCGACACCCGCAGTGAAAGTGCCCCGATACGTCCTTATCGAGGGGTGAGTCGCCCCGCCGCCCCGCCGCCCCGACAGGCACGCTGCACTGCAAAGACCGGGACCGCCGGGCCAGTCAACCCAACCCACCGCGCCGTGCGCGCCGTGCGGCACACTGTATCGCAGTCACGCCCCGGAGTCGCATCACGCGCACGCCGCCACGGCCAGCGCCCCGCCAGCAACAACAAGAGGCGTGGTGACAGAGTCTACAAACAACAACAATAGGCGGTAGCGCGGCAGCGCGGCGGCGGCGCGAGTCATAATGGCAACTTTCTTCCCGCATCTCCATACAGTGTAGAGCGCGCGTTCATTCATTTCGCGAGTTTACATAATGGCGGCGTAGTAGAGCACGGGGCACGGCGTACCTCCAGCAGCTCGAACCAGTCCTCCAGGCCGTGCGCGGCCCGCAGCAGCACGCGCGGCCGGTCCCGGGTGCTGAGCGCCACCACACTGTAGCTGCGCCGGTTCACCCACTCGGGGGCGTCCAGGTCCACCAGGCGGATCTGCGAAATGAAAACGGCAGGGGCGTTAGGACACTGCATCTTTCGTCGCTCCATCTCTGTCGCACTCCTACGGGGCGCCGCGTGAGTGCGAGAGAGACGGTGCAACGAGTGTTCGGAAAGCTCTGCAGCACGACAAGGGCCTCGCGGAGGTGGAGGGGCGAGGCTTGCGAGGCAGGCGAAGCACCTCGCCGGCCAGCGCCTCGCCTAGCCTCGCTAAATGCAGCGCAACGCAGCCACGCGGCCGCGGCACGCTGCGGCGTGGGAAAGCCCGAGAGCAGCTGCAGCGGCTGGAGCAGCGTGGCACTGGCGGTTCGGACAGATTAGCAGCGTAGCAGCGCGAAGATTGGCTTCGCAGGGGCACGCTGGGCCGCCCGCCGCGCAGCCGTGCGCGCGGCCCACGGGATGCCTACTGCCACGGCGCTCCGCTGGGCGTTGCGGCGTTGCGACACACTGCGAACAGCGCCCAGCGCCCCTCCGCGCTTTGCGCTTCGCGCTTTGCGCTTGGATTGCCGCTTGCGAAACGTCCGGTGCATGTGAACCGTGGCGGCTGCAGGGCAGCTTCACCGGCCCGAGAGGGTTGCGCGCAGCAAAACAGGTTGCAACCGTTTGGAACAGTTTGAGAGCGCGCTCCCGGAGAAATAGTCACCTTGAAGATGAAGTGGCCCATCTGCGACAGGCCGTCCCCCGCGGCGCGCCGCTTGAAGCAGTGCAGGTAGTCACTCGTCAGCACGAAGTAGCGCTCCTTCCAGCGGCTCCACAGGCGCTCGCGCTGCTGCCAGAGGACGCCGCGCTTGATGGCGGGCAGGGCCTGCAAACCCAAGCAAATCCAAATCCCCCTTCAGTGAGGCCGTAAAACGAGCTGTCTCCGTCTCTCTCGCACTCACGGCGCGCCCCGGAAGGGTGCGAGAGAGACGGAGCGACGAATCGGAATCAGGCTACGGCGGGTACTAATCGCGGCACGCATCTTCCAGCAGAAACCTCAAAACGCCCGGCTCGGCTCGGCGATGGTGGCGCGGCGATAACGGAGGCGTGCCCGGCGACGACAAGAAGTGCGCCGCGGCGATGCGGCGATGCACGCCGAGGGGCGTTGACACTTCCTGGTGCCGCGCCGCCGTGCCCAGCCGGGCCGGGCCCTGATTGGGCGCGTGAGTCATCCAAAACGTATTCAAAAGTAAATCGGCGTCCGCGGCGGCACGGCACGGCACGGCGCGCGGCGGCCAGGTGGCGGCGCCGTGCCGTGACTCAGTGGGAGGCAGAGGCGAGGGCAGAGGACTCATCATGCCTGTACCGTCGACAGGCGCAGACACATTTCGTCCGCTATTGGGAGACGCGCTGCCGACTGCCTGACGGCTCGACGCGTGGGAGCGGCCGAGCGGCCATCCTTCAGCGAGAGGCCGCCGGTCGCCTCCTGGTGGATCATCTTCCCGCTCCCGGCGGTTTTGTCTACCGACAGGGAAAATCTCATTCAACGAACGTTAATGAAAGCAGATGATACTCGTTTGGTTTTCTTCTGGGCTCATTAGTATGGGCTCATTCCAAAGATAGTTCTTAAAATCTCATTCAACGAACGAGGCCGAGCTGGCGCCGAAGCCGGCACGAGCTGAGCAGAGCCGAGGTCTGCCCGAGTCACCCACCCTTTGAGACGTCCGCGCAGGCTGCGCCTCACCGCCAGCCAGCCAGCCAGACACACCAGCCCGCCCCGGCGGCCAGCCCCTATTATATTGTTAGGATACGCGCTTGGTTTCTGGACTCGAGAGTAAAAGCACGCTGACACCTTCATGTGTACAGTATTTATAAGTATGTTTCAAGTGTGGTGAAGGTATCATCTGCTAAAAACCGTATGCGGCAAATCAAAAACCGTATGAGGCAGACCAAAAGCCGTATACGGCAAACAAAAAACCGTATGCGGCAAATCAAAAACCGTATGAGGCAGACCAAAAGCCGTATACGGCAAACAAAAAACCGTATGCGGCAAATCAAAAACCGTATGAGGCAGACCAAAAGCCGTATTTGGCAAACAAAAAACCGTATGCGGCAAATCAAAAACCGTATGAGGCAGACCAAAAGCCGTATACGGCAAACAAAAAACCGTATGCGGCAAATCAAAACCCGTATGAGGCACACCAAAAGCCGTATACGGCAAACAAAAAACCGTATGCGGCAAATCAAAAACCGTATGAGGCAGACCAAAAGCCGTATACGCAAACAAAAAACCGTATGCGGCAAATCAAAAACCGTATGAGGCAGACCAAAAGCCGTATACGGCAAACAAAAAACCGTATGCGGCAAATCAAAACCCGTATGAGGCAGACCAAAAGCCGTATACGGCAAACAAAAAACCGTATGCGGCAAATCAAAAACCGTATGAGGCAGACCAAAAGCCGTATACGGCAAACAAAAAACCGTATGCGGCAAATCAAAAACCGTATGAGGCAGGCCAAAAGCCGTATACGGCAAACAAAAAACCGTATGCGGCAAATCAAAAACCGTATGAGGCAGACCAAAAACCGTATACGGCAAACAAAAAACCGTATGCGGCAAATCAAAAACCGTATGAGGCAGACCAAAAGCCGTATACGGCAAACAAAAAACCGTATGCGCCAAATCAAAAACCGTATGAGGCAGACCAAAAGCCGTATACGGCAAACAAAAAACCGTATGCGGCAAATCAAAAACCGTATGAGGCAGACCAAAAGCCGTATTCGGCAAACAAAAAAACCCTATGCGGCAAATCAAAAACCGTATGAGGCAGACCAAAAGCCGTATACGGCAAACAAAAAAACCCTATGCGGCAAATCAAAACCCGTATGAGGCAGACCAAAAGCCGTATACGGCAAACAAAAAACCGTATGCGGCAAATCAAAAACCGTATGAGGCAGACCAAAAGCCGTATACGCAAACAAAAAACCGTATGCGGCAAATCAAAAACCGTATGAGGCAGACCAAAAGCCGTATACGGCAAACAAAAAACCGTATGCGGCAAATCAAAAAACCCTATGAGGCAGACCAAAAGCCGTATACGGCAAACAAAAAACCGTATGCGGCAAATCAAAAACCGTATGAGGCAGACCAAAAGCCGTATACGCAAACAAAAAACCGTATGCGGCAAATCAAAACCCGTATGAGGCAGACCAAAAGCCGTATACGGCAAACAAAAAACCGTATGCGGCAAATCAAAAACCGTATGAGGCAGACCAAAAGCCGTATACGGCAAACAAAAAACCGTATGCGGCAAATCAAAAACCGTATGAGGCAGACCAAAAGCCGTATACGGCAAACAAAAAATCTCATTCAACGAACGCTAATAAAAGCAGATGATACTCGTTTGGTTTTCTTCTGGGCTCATTAGTATGGGCTCATTCCAAAGATAGTTCTTAAAATCTCATTCAACGAACGAGGCCGAGCTGGCGCCGAAGCCGGCACGAGCTGAGCAGAGCCGAGGTCGAGGTCTGCCCGAGTCACCCACCCTTTGAGACGTGGCAGGCGGAGAGGGATTGTCAATGTGGCGCGCGGGCCGTCGCGCGCGAGGAGGGGGTAGGGGGTGCCAGGCTGCGCCTCACCGCCAGCCAGCCAGCCAGACACACCAGCCCGCCCCGGCGGCCAGCCCCTATTATATTGTTAGGATACGCGCTTGGTTTCTGGACTCGAGAGTAAAAGCACGCTGACACCTTCATGTGTACAGTATTTTTAAGTATGTTTCAAGTGTGGTGGAGGTATCATCTGCTAAAAATTGACGTCTGTGCCGGACTGGAGGACTGGAGGTTGGAGTTTCCAAGGGCGGAGGCTTCGCCCCGCTTCGCGCGCTGCGGGCGAGGGCACTGCTTTTCGCGGAGACTGTACCCCGACCGCAGAAGCGGCAGAAGGATGAACACATCAGGGCGCGTTTCCAGTGGCGTGGGCGCTGTGGCGGGGCTGGCGGGGCTGGCGAGCCTCAGGTGGTGCGGGCCACGCTGCGGGCCCGACGGCGCGAGCTTAGAGTATCAATGCCGTGACGTAAGCCGCGAGACACGCGTTCGAGTCCCGACGGCGGCGCACAGTTTTCGCTTTTCACTTGGGCGTTCGTAATTAGGGCATAAATCCCATGGACGAGCGCTCCGCTCCGCCTGGCCGAACTGCCAAACGGCTCTCGCGCCGGGCCTTACGCGTCTCACGGCAACGGGCTTTGAACACGGGCGGGGCTCGCTAGCCTCACCCAAGGCGCCAAGGCCCACCCGGTTCCGGAAGACGGAGAAGACGAGGCAGGAATCCGAGTCCGCATTGCAGTGGCGCGGCACCGCGGCACCGCGGCGCTAGCGCGCTAGCCGGCCTCCCAAGGTGGTCTACTCCGCGGCCCGTGCCCGGTGCCATTCCCGAGTGGTTAGCGTGGATCCGCGGTCCGTGGCGGTCCGGGACGACAGGAGGCAGGACGGAGTCAGGACGCGGAGGACACGCAGCGTCTCCGCCAGGGCCGCCTGCTTGGGCCTGCTTGGGCCTGCTTGGCGCTGTACAGTGGGCCAGAAGACCGGTGGAGGCGGCCAAAGCTCTAGACGCGCTTTGAGCTCCAGAGTTGCTAAATGGGACTCGAACTGAACGTGTGACCCCACCAATGGATTCCTCGTTCGGAGAGCAATCCATTGGTGGGGTCACACGTTCGATTTGAGGCTCATTTAGCGACTCTGGAGCTCAAAACGCGTCTCGAGTTTTGGCCGCCTCCACCGGTCTTCTGGCCCACTGTGCGCTGTGGCGCTCTTGGCCTGGCTTGGCACGCGCGGACGACGCGCCCTTGGGCCTTGGCGGTCTCGTCGCAACGCGCAGCGCAGCGTCCCGACCCATTCCGATGCAGGATACCGCGGACCGCGGCAGTAACGGCCAGCGCTCAATTTGCCCCGCAATTTGCGGACAGCTAATAAAAGAAAAATTGTTTGTTGTTTTTGTTGTGTTTTTCGCTTAAACGAATGACATGTTTTCTCTGCTTTCGCGTCCGCGTCCCTGTGACAGCGGCAGCGGCACGACAGCAGGCGAGCAGCACTTTGATTTGAGCGGCGCTCTCGGTACGCGCCGTCATCCTTTCTGACGACTTCTCTCTCTCTCTGTCGCTCTGCCTGGCGGTCGCCGTCGCCGTCCTCGTCTCCGCGGCGGAGAAAACGGCGGCAGGCTCTGGACATTGTTTCCGACACCACCGCGGGGCTGCTTGCTCCCGCTCCCGAAACACGAAATGAACGGAGCCGCGCAAAAAGCATGAGCCGTGGGATGAGCAGCGGAAGGCCGGCAGACCGGAAGCCGGGCGCCAAATTGGTCGCTATCGAGCTATCGAGCTATCGAAACGAAAGCATCGAGAAACGGCGTGGCGCCGCCGCCATTCAGCCGCCGCTCTTTGCTGGCTTCGCTGGCTTCGCTGGCTTCGCTGGCGCTCCCTTCGGAATTTAATCTGCGTTCTGGCGGTGCCAGCGTGCCAGCCGCTCGCGCATTTCGCATTTCGCACCGGGCTGCGGAAGCGCGGCTAGTGCTGCGGGCAGTATCAGAGCCATCTATCGCGGCGGCCGAGCAGAGTGAGCGAGAGAGAGAGACAGACGGAGAGCTCTATTCGCAGGGTGGTCTGCAAATAAGCTCAGCCAATCGCACCATCGCGCGCGTTTCGCGTCGTTCGCGGCCCCGCGGTCTGCTGCCGCTGCGGGCCCCGCCCCGCCCCGCCCCGCCCCGCGTCCGTCGAACGGCGTTGACGTAATGTTGCATCGCCGCTGCCCTCCCTGTGAATAATCAGAGAAAGCAGCAAGCAGCCCGTCATCCCGAGTCCCGGGCGTGGGGCGTGGGGCTCGCTGCGTGCCACGCCGGCCGGCCGGCCAGGCAGAGGCAGCCACTCGGGCAGCCACAATGCCATGACATTTCCAGAGACCGGCGAACGGCCGAACGGAGTCTTCGTCGTGAGTTGGCGCGCGAGATCGGGCCAGCCAGCCTGCCGCCCTACCGTGCCTCGCCATGCCCTCCCTGCCATGCCCTGCCCTGCCATGCCCTGCCCTGCCCTGCCTGCGAGACGATGAGCAGCGGGTTGCGGCAAGACACTGGAGGCCCGACCCAGCCCAGACGAACCCCATCCTCGGTGCGTTTCAGCACGACCGCCAGAAACGGATTCGCGCATGCAGTCAGTGAGGGGCACCACCGGCACCGCTTCGTCGCTCTGCCTCTCTCGCGCTCTAGGGCGGCCCTTGGGGATGCGAGAGGGACAGGGCGACGCGGCCGTTCGAAGTGAGCGTGCGGTGTGCGCGCCGCGGGGCGTCATGCTGATCCTCCCCTCCCCTCCCCTCGTCCCTCACTCGACACCTTTCACGGCCAACAGTGCCGCACGCGCCGAAGCCACGCCGCTGGAGCACTCGAGTTCGCCCCGCGAAAACAAGACACCTGAAAAATCGGGAGCGGCATGATGGCGTTTGGCGGTGTGCCGTACTGCTAGCAGTCTAGCAGTCTGCTATACACTCTGCTCCGGCCTGCCCTGCCCCGGGCTGGCCGTGCCCTGCGCGGCCCGTTCTGCCGTTCCCGTGACATTTCCTGAAAGTCCAGGTAACGAGGCGGTGGCAGCAACAACAACAGCAGCAGCAACAGCAGCAACAACAACAGCAGCAACAACAACAACAAGCACAGCGCCGCACACTAATAGGCCGGGGCGCCACGAGGCACGTTTAAAAAGCGCGCGCCGCTCGCGTTTGACTTTTTATTGCGTGTGTGTGCGTCTCCCCTCCGCGCCGCGCGAGTCAAAGCGGGCATTCCCCGAACGAGGAGCTCAGCCGCTTTCAAATCGACGCAGAGGGCGAAAAAAGATGGTAATTTGAGGTCGGTTGCTTTTTCGCTATTGTATTTTTTTTAACGACGGTCCGACTGTCGACACGCGAAGGCATAGCCATCCAGCCGATTTTGGCAGGCACGGATGGAAGAAGACTCTTCTCCTGCAATTTTGCCGGCACCGCGCTGCTGCAATGTTTGCTTCGTGCAGCCCCCCCCCCTTCCCCCTCCCGCCCCCGCGTTGCCCCGCGCTTGCCGCGGTCCGCTGACGGTGAAAGCGCGGTGCAGCGAACTAAGGGCCAGCACCGCCAGCACGACGGCGAGGCCCGGCCGCGGCCGCCCGGCCCGGCTTGGCTGCGTGCGGGGGCTCCCTTAAAGGGAGCCTTAAGGGATCTCGACGGCGCTACACGCCCTCACGGCCACCAAGGCGTTGGCGCTTGCCGCTTCGTGAGGCCCGGTCGTCGCGGACCTGGCCCGGCCACCCCGTTTGCCGGCTGGCCGACGTGACAGGCGGAAAATAAGATAAATTGAAAATTAGGGTCGGTCGTTCGCAGGGCCACGTTCCCGCGGTCCTCATTCCCATTCCTGTTTTAATCGAGTGCCAAAAGAGGAAAGGCTGCCCTGGCCGGCCCTGCCCGGCCCGCGGCAAGGGCGAGGCGTGGGGCCGTGGAGCCAGCCAGCCGGTCACGCCGAATCCTGGATAACCGAGGCGTGGGCGGCCCCGCCGGACCGGGCGGGGGTCAAGATGGCCGTGTTTCGCAATGCGCATCGGCGTGCGCAGCGCCATCGCGCCATGAGATCCGCGTGATCGAGCCAGGCAGCCAGCCAGCCAGCCAGCCAGCCAGCCAAGCAGCCAGGCAGGCAGAGCCGGGCGAATTCGCCGCTCGCCCCGCGAGACGTTGGCCAACATCGCCAATAATTAATGCGAATCATTGTCCAGCCGGAGGCGTTGCGTCAAGCCGCGCGCGCCGTGGAGGGACTGTGAGAAACGGCTGGCGACTGCCACGGGGTGGTTTATCGCGTGCGCGGAGTATCACCGCGTCCCCGGAAGCAGAACGCCCCGCCCCGCCCCGCCCCGCCCGGCACGAGCGCGATAATTCCGGGCCAGGGTCTTCCTCCAATCAATTGGCCGCAGCCAGTCGCGCGCGTGAGCAGCCCGAGGGCCGCAGTGGGGCGGGGCGGGGCGGGGCGGGGCGGGGCGGGGCGGGGCGGGGCGGTTTGACATTTGCAGGTGTGCCAACCCGGAGTCACGCAGCAGACAGGGCGGTGGCCGCGGATACGGCCCAGCATCCCCGTGCGTACGGGACTGCGCACGTGAACGCGACGAGCACCGCGTCGACGGGAACGCCCCGCCCCGCCCCGCCCCGCCCGACGGCGGCCTTGATGCTATCTCGGCGGGCCCCTATGGCATCCAGGCACCTGCTGCGTGGCGGGGCAGCGCGGGGCAGCGCACGTTCCTTGGGCACGCGTGCAGTGCGGTACCGTACGTGAAGTGGACTGGCCGTCCGTCGCCGCGATGTCGCGATGTCGCGATGTCGCGATGTCGCGATGCCGCGATGTCGCCGTCTTGTCGTCTGGCCCGGCCGTACGGGACACCGGACAGGCGCCGCACTGCGCCGCACGCTATCTTGGTGGCCGCCCCGTGGAGCGCCGAGCACGCCCAGCGCCGCGATGAGCGGAGGACATGATGATACCCTGTGGGCACTCCGGGCACTCCGTGGGCCGAGTAGCCGCCAAGCGGTTGGTCGAAATGTCAACGGCTCTCTCAGAATGGCGGGACGGACTGACTTTGCGGGGACTTTTGGCTTCACTTCCTCGGCTTCCTCCCTAAGCACGCCGGTTAATGATACCCCCGCGGCAGGTCCGCAGAGAGCTGTCTGCTGCCTGCAACTGGCCGGGGGAGTCGAACTACCACTCCACCCGGTGATACTACCGGCGCGTAATGCACCAGGTTGGCGTCGTCCACTTTTCCCGGAGCGGGGAGGTTTACATGTGGGCCGCCGAGGTAAGGGGAAACGGGGCCGCGCGGCCGGGCACGCTGACGGCCAGGCCACGTCCCGCCACGGCCCGCCACGGCCCGGCACTTGAGACGCGCGGGCAACAGCTGGAGAATAGGTACTTGACCTCCTGCACGGACGCTCGTCTCCGCCACTCCGCCACTCCGCCTTCGCTCGCTGCAGCTGCTGGAAAACTCCTTCGAATCGAAAACGCCCCGCCCCGCCCCGCCCCGCCCTCCTGCCGGCCTTTGTCTTTGGAGTGATTCAAGTTCAAGCGAGTCGGCGTTACGGCGCGACGGTCGCGGCCCCGTCCGTGCAGAAGCGGTCCGATTCTGGACAGTGCTCTCGCCTCTCTGTCTCTGTCGCGCTCGTGGCGCGAGAGGGACTGACAGACGAGGCGCTCTGCGGTCCGCCGAGCCTGGCTGCTCGCTCGAGGCAGTAAAGCATGCAAAACGGTTTCCCGCGGGGGCGAGGCCGGCGAGGCCGGCGAGGCGTTCTGCCCGAGACGCCCTGTCGACAGTGCCGGCCGGCTGCCTACCCGCATGACAGCCTAACTAGAGTCCCCCACTGGAGGACTCGTGGCCGCCAAACGCGGCGCGGCAATCGCCAAACGCGCGGCGTGTCGCGTGTCGCGTGTGTCGCTCCATACAAAGCGGCGCGCGGACAGCCCATGCAGTATGCAGATGGGCGCCGAGGCCGAGCGGCCGCAAAGGCAACGCCGGCGTGCACATGGACGGCGTGGACGCGCACACCTCAATGTCGCCAAGCGCCACCCCGCGACACCTGTCCGCCGCCGCGACACCTCGCCGGAAGGCAGGGGGGGGGGGGGGGCACTCCAGCGGTGGCCCCACCTCCAAGTCTACACCTTGCACAACGGCGACATGACTACGGCGACCTCCAGCAGGGCGATAACAGCGCGCAAGGATGAACCAACTTGGAAGCCGGTGCCAATGTGTGTGTCAAGGCGTGTTTGTGCGTTTCGGCGCGCGCGGGCTTGTTCGTGGGCGTGTTCGCGGCCCGGGGGGCGCGGCCGGGCGGGGCTGCTCTAGATCGGAAGTGTTACTCAACCCTTTGAGAGAAAAACGGAGCCGCGAGACCGCAGTAGCTGGAAGAGATAAGAGGCATCGCTATCAGTCCAGTATCGGCGCGCCCAACCCGACGACGGCGTGGTGGCGCGCGGCCCGTCACGCCCCTCCGCACACACACACACACACTCACACACAGCTGTGCGGACGCAGCAGTTTCCTCTGCAATCGGCAGAAAATGGAACCGGCCGACCATAGTTGCAGGCGAGCGGGGCGGGCGGGCTTGATAATAACGCCATAGCCCTCCTTGCTCCGTGGTGCGTACACGCAGGCGCGCGCGCACAGTGTGCCACACACACGAGCACGCGCGGGCGCGCACGTGAATGCCGAAAGGAAGCGGAGCAGGGAGCGCCCGCATGGGCAGGCACTGGCAGGCAGCAGGTCTGTTCTGTATCGAGCCGGGCCCCGCGCCGGGTAGGCAGCCCCGCCTCGCGCGTCGCACCGCTGTGCTGCGGCCTGCCTACCCCGCGCTCGTCGGGCGGCGAGGAGGGCCTGGATGGGCCTGGCTAGCACCAGCACCGCAGCCCGCACCGCCACCGCCATCATCATCATCGTTGGGTCATTAGTCGCGTGGTGGCGGCCTGGCCGGGCCTGGCGGCCAAACTCAATCATAATGACAAAGAGATCGGGCCGGCCGGCCGTTGTGGACTGCCAGCGTGTGCGGCGGGCAGTGCGGCGTGCCTCCACGGCGGCCTCCACCGGCTCGGCGCCGCGGGCCGTGGGGCCGGCATGGCACCCATCGGCAGCGGCGCGACATTGTGTCTGAAAGAAAGCTCCGTGATTGGGAGTGAAAGGAAGTTCACCTGGTAAGAGTCGAGCTGGGGCTGCGGCCCGAGGCCGAGCGCCCCGAGGGGTCGCAGCCTGTTGAGCCGCGCCAGGCTCGACGTGTCCATCAGGGAGGACACCGGCGTGAGCCGCGGCGAGTCCAGCAGGGAGGCGGCGGGCGAGTGCTCCTGGTCATGCTCCTCCGTCAGGCTGAGCGAGTCCAGCAGCGAGGGCGGCGGCGACGGCCGGACGTCCATGGAGTACGGCAGGGACAGCGGCCGGCCGCCGCCCGTGCGCACGAAGTCGAACACGGGCCGCGCCAGGCTGGAGCCGGACCGCGACGCCGCCCCGCCCGAGAAGCCCGAGAAGGCCGAGGACATGGTGGACGGGCGGCCGTTGCCGCCGTTGGCCGCCATGGCCTTGCGGCCGTCCGCGGGGGTCAGCCCCGGACGCGCAGCACGCGACGCCCGCGGCGACCTGGGCGAGCGCGGCATGTCCAGCATGCGGTGGTGGTCCAGCACGAAGGCGGGCGGCGGCGGGCCGCGGTGCTGCGTCTCGGCCAGCATGGTGGCGGCGGGCGCGGTGCTGACTCAGAGCATATCCTGGGGCGGGCCTGTGAGGTGGCAGGCAGGCGGCGCTTCGAAGAGTACACACACACTCTCGTACACACGGATCGCGACGAAGGCCTCGGGGCGCCTTGGGCTCCACGAGGAACCGCGGGGTCGTCGTCGCACCCTGACCTGACTCGAGGAACGTCCGCGTCGGACTGGGCTGGCCGCGCTGGCCGCGCTGGCGGGGCCCCGGGCCGGCGTGCACGGCGGGGCGTGGCGGGGCGGCGTGGCGGCGATGCAGGCGGAGAGTGGGGCCGCCACGCCGCCACAGCGAGCGCGGCACCGCGGCACCACGGCGGGGCGGTAGGAGTGCGCGGGCCTCTCTCCGGCGTCTTTGTGCACGTTGTGCACCGACCGGACTGTCCCTCCCCCGACAGCCCGACAGCCCGACAAGCAAGGGTGCTCGGCGACGGCGGGCGAGGGCGCGACACTGGAACCCTCCCAAAAATAAGACGCGAAACGTTTAGTTCGGCCTTTGCCATTAACTCGGCCTTCTCGGCGCGTTGAGTCACGCCGACCGCACGCCTTGGACCTGCGGAGCGCTGCGGAGTGGCAAAGTGGCGGGGAGGGAGTCAGACGGCGAGGCGGCAGGCGGCAGGTCGTGGAAGCGAGATGACATCACCGAACCTACACGGCGACATCTGCGGAACACACAGCCTGCCGGCTTGCCCTACCCAGCCGCGCCGGCGTCTCCTGCAGTTGCTCGAGGGAGCGTCGCGACGCTCATCCGAACCGCAAGGAGCGGCTTGCAACTGCCTTGCAGTGTCGCGGAGCATCGCGGCGCCAACCTTGCATTCCTTATGCAAAGCGCTTCGCTCGTCTTGCCCGCGATGCCGCGATTTGCTGTCTACTAGCCGTGGTGACGATGATGACGATGATGACGTTGATGACGGTGACACGGCGCCGCCCCATCCCGGAGCGCGGTGTGCGCGGCGCTGGAGAGAGGGAGGGGGGGGGGCATGGAGGCTCGCGGACGACGGCGACCCTCCCGCCGTCACCACTTCGACTTCGTGCTGAGGCGGCAGCGGTTCGGTGATGGGAGCGCGCGATAGAGCACAGCACCACTCGGTCGCTTGCTGTCTGCAGTCGAGAAGGCGATGACCATCTAGCCCCCAATCCAGGTGGCTAATGACGACCAAACGCACCGCCGTGCCGGCCTCGAGTTGTGTTTCGGACGCGGCGGGGGCTGGGGCGGTATCGGCGGGGGCGCGTGGCGCCGCGCCGGCAGCTGGGGGTGCAGCCGGCGTGGCCTTGGCGGCGGAGCCCGAGGTTCACGGACGCCGTGCTCGTTCATCACGGCCTGTCGGATTCCAGCCGCTCCAGCCGCCCCAGCCCTGCGCAGGTGTCCTTGCGCGGCGGCGCGGCCCAGGGCGCGGCGGTGCGGCGCGGGGTGGCGGCCGATTCAACTGGTAGGGCGCGGTAGAGGGTCGCGCTCTTGAGGGTGGCGGTGTCGGCGGCGGGTTGAGCAGGGTTGGCTTGTGCTTGGCGGGCGCCATGCTGCAGGGCGTGCCGGGCGTGCAGCCTCCCACCCCTCAGCCCTGCCGTGCCAATGCCGTGGCCACGGCTCACCCCGCGCCTCGCTATTGGCGTGAGGGCACTCAACAGGTCCATGACCCCAGCCAGATCCTGGCCTGGCCCCGGGGCCACGCCCGACACCCGCCCACCCTGGTCGCTCTGCCTCTCTCGCACTCATGGGGCGTCGCGCGTCGCGCAGGGATGCCAGAGAGACAGAGCGACCGCCATCATGCCGCCATCCGGAATCGAGCCCGTCACTCCGGCCGCGCGGAGTCAAGAGAAGCATCCCCGCCCCGCCTCGAGCCTCGCGGTGCCAAGTGATGAATGGGGATGAGGGGGAGGGGAGGGAGCTGGAGTGTGAGTTATTCCAGCGGTTCTGGACTGTATGCACGGTGGGTCGCAGCCAGAGAAAGGTCTTTCCATTCCAGAGTATACATTCTTGTGCGGTGACACAAGACCATACACTGTACATTGTCTCATCCAAGGCCCTACCCCATTCATTCAGTCTGCGGGGAAACGCCGAGTGAGCTAGCATTGCAGGCTCGCCTTTTCCACAGCCTAAGCCGTCCTAAGACGAGCCGGATGCCTCCAAACGCCCTTGAGGTATGGAGATTTTGTTTCACGCGCACACTGAGCTCCGTTTTTGAGTTCATGTCATCTCCTTCGGTTCTGTCGATGAATCAGGTAGGTCAGTCATCCACAAACGCCGAGCGGGCAGGCAGCCCATCGTGCACCTCCACCTGTACCTTCCCCCTCCCCTCCAACCCACCACTGCCTCTTCAAACTAGTTTTTAATCGTTGTCTGATTTGCCTGACTGAAAGGATGGTGGTCTTCTGGTTTGAAGAGCGACGCCTTTATCTGAGTTTGGTAGTCCGTGACGAGGAACCCGCGAAGTTTCATTGAAATTTTGCACAAAAGCGTCAAGTTGGGGGCTTTTGCGCGTGGTACGTTGGTAGGAGTGTCACGTGGTTCAGGGAACGAAAAGGCTCCGAGAAGGCGGCGGGCCGCGGGAACCAACCTCCTGTCTGTTTCATTGTTGGGGTTCACATTACTCCCGGTTTTAGAATTTTCAAACAATGGCAGCCATAAGCTTGTTGAACCCTAAAGCCGAGTTCGCTCGTGCCGCTCAAGCCCTCGCTGTGAACATCTCAGCAGCCAAAGGAATTCACGATGTGATGAAGACAAACCTTGGCCCCAAGGGAACCATGAAAATGTGAGTACGACATAACCCTACCGGCGCACCCCATGTGGCCCCATCTTATCGATAAAATGCTGTAATTTGGTGTGTTTACTTTTCCGTCTGCCGTTTAAGATCGCGTTGTTGAATGGCTGACTCGTATTTGACGTTTTTTCGGCCTGGTTCAGTTACTTAATCTTTGATAGTGATTTGGTTGAGGACCCGTGACTTCTGGGAGGCCTGTGAGCTGCTGAAACCAGCGTTCAGATTCTGCGTCTTTTTTTACGATTTGGTTGCGGAGATAATCCCAGCCGTTCATTCATTGAATTTCAGTTTGACATTGACAAACATCAGATAGTTCCAGGCTGCTATGATCATTTGTGACTTGTGTCGTATGGTGTGCACCTGTTTTTACTTTTGATTCTTAAAACTTACGTTCAATGAATTCGGCAGTAATTTTTGTGAAATATTCATTAATTTAAGTTCAATTGCCTCATTGAGTAAAGCTTTTCTACTCTTGTTACTATTTCTGATATTTTGTACTAATCTTGGAGGTTATGTTCACCATTGTTATTTTGTTGTGATCCCAATATTATTTTCTTGTTCTCCCACTCAGGTTGGTGTCCGGTGCTGGGGACATCAAGATCACCAAGGATGGCAATGTATTGCTTCATGAGATGCAGATCCAGCACCCGACTGCTTCTCTGATTGCTCGTGCTTCAACAGCTCAGGATGACATGACTGGTGATGGCACAACCTCAACTGTCCTGCTCATTGGAGAGCTGCTAAAGCAAGCAGATTTGTTCATTGCTGAGGTGCGTATCTGCACTGTCTATTTATCTATTTTTGCTGTCCCTGTTGCTTAATTTTTCATGGTGTGACACTGATCATTTTGCTCACTCAGGGTCTGCATCCCCGCATCCTTACTGAGGGATTTGAACAGGCAAGAAAGAAAGCTGTAGAGGTCCTTGACTCAATGAAAATCCCCACTGAGGCCAAGAGGGAAAGCCTGATTGATGTTGCCAAGACTTCCCTGGCCACCAAGGTGCACCCCAAGCTGGCAGCAGTGCTCGCTGGAGTTTGCGTTGATGCTATTTTAGCAATTAGACAGGACAAGAAACCAGTTGACCTTCACATGATTGAAATGATGGAAATGCAGCACAAAACTGAAATGGAAACCACTCTCATCAAAGGTCTGGTCATGGACCATGGTGCCAGACACCCTGACATGCCCAAGCGTGTTGAAAATGCCTACATTCTGACCTGCAATGTGTCTATGGAGTATGAAAAGAGTGAAGTCAACTCTGGCTTTTTCTACAAATCGGCTGAAGAAAGGGAGAAGCTTGTTTTGGCCGAACGTGAATTCATTGAAAACAGAGTGAAGAAAATCATTGAACTGAAGAAGAAGTTGTGTGATGGTACCGACAAAACCTTTGTTGTCATTAATCAGAAGGTCTGTTAATATTACTATTAATAATGAATTATTTTCTACTGTACATCCAAAATTTGTGTATCCTGAATTAAATTTTTGTTCAGGGTATTGACCCCATGTCTCTGGATATGCTCGCCAAGGAGGGCATCATTGGACTGCGTAGAGCCAAGCGCCGTAACATGGAGCGTCTTGCTCTTGCCTGCGGTGGTATGGCTGTCAACTCAGTTGATGATCTGGATGAAAGCTGCCTGGGTTATGCTGGACTTGTTTATGAACATGTGCTGGTAAGTTATGACAATTTTTTTTATTAAGGACAAAAATTACTTTGAATGCATTAAGGCATGCCTTATCAAAGACTTTCTTTTTGTTTGCAGGGTGAAAACAAATACACATTTGTAGAGGAATGCAAGTTCCCTCAAAGTGTGACTATCCTCACTAAAGCACCCAACAAGCACACATTAGTCCAAGTCAAAGATGCCATTCGAGATGGACTTCGTGCTGTGAACAACACTTTACTAGATGGTAAATTGCTCTCTTTTTTAGGATATGAAAGAAAACATAATTTCAATCAGCTTTTTGATATGTCTTAATCTTATTGTACTGACTTGTTTTTCAGAATGTGTTGTTCCTGGAGCTGGTGCTACAGAAATAGCCACTCACCGAGAGCTGATGAAGTACAAGGAAACAGTCAAGGGCAAGGCCCGTCTTGGCATTCAAGCTTTTGCTGAGGCATTGCTAGTTATTCCTAAGACCCTAGGTAAGCCCATACTGTCTAATTTATTTATCTGATGGATCTCTTAAATGGCTCTTTACACTTGGAATTTTTACTTGTTAACAGCTGTGAACAGTGGTTTTGATTCACAAGACACCATAGTGAAGCTACAAGAGGAGGCTATTGCCACAGGTGAAGCTGTTGGTCTGGATATTAACTCTGGTGAAGTTTTAAAACCAGCAGAAGCAGGAATCTATGACAACTTTATTGTGAAGAAACAAATTATCAACTCTTGGTAAGTTTGACAACAAAGAAAAAGTTCTTATGAAATTTTTAGAGTTCATGAAATGACTTCTTCTTTTATTTTTCAGCACTGTCATTGCTAGCAATCTTCTCTTGGTTGATGAGATTATGAGAGCTGGTATGTCATCACTGAAGGGTTAAGAAGATCTAAACCAAGTCTTAAGTAATCCTTCTACCATCCACTGAAAATGTGGAAGCTTCTACACTTAACATATGTATTATCCGGTGGGACCTTGCTTTTGCATTTATCTTAATTTATTCACACCATTTGGTGGGTCTCTAATTTACATATTGCTCTGCTTGTTATTTTTTCCAGTATCTGCATTAAAATCTGTTCTAATTTAGTGTTTAAGAACAACCCTGTGCTAATTTTATACTTCATCCATCTCATTCATGTTTGGTCCATCTCACCATTCTGTGCCTTTCACCTTGTTTTGTAAAATATGAACTAAATTGGTTTGCATTAATGCAGACAGTAAAATTGCTTTGAAAATCCTTTTATTTTATTTCTTTTCCCTGCTACACAACTTACACAAAGGTTCATATGAGGAAATAATTGGACACATATCACATTTATTTGACAAAGCTGTGAAAACCAGATTAACTGGATTGATCAATTTCATTAGATTTTGCACAAAACACTAGCTAGTCAAATTTTAAGTCTGAATAGAGAGATCATATAACATCAACAATCAATGTTGGTGTCAGTCCACAAGAGGGGAGACATAATAAACGCATCCCTTGGAGATCAACTTTTCTATTAGTCATGAGTACAAAAGTAATAACATATGTGATGAGCAGGAATATCCGTATATATTACACTTCTTGGAGCATGTATGCTATGCCCATAATATGCAGGACAACAAATTGCTCCATGATCCTAGGCTGAGTAATGAATTCGTTAGTCAGAGAATAACAACGGCTGTAATTGTTCCATTTTGAACAGTCAAATATTGTGCAGTAAGCAGATTTTTTTGGTCTATTTACAATGTTAGTTATTTTTGTGACTAGATGTAAGGCATCTCATATCAATATAGGGAAACAATGACCGAATAACGTAAATTAGATACAAAACCATCAACTACTATCACATATTTGTACCAAGAATACAGAAATTGTCCCAATGGGGCACCAAATTTATTCATAGTTTCTGAACTTCTAGAGCAAAATGATACAGAGGGTTGAGGAGGGAACAATGCACTTCATTCAAAAATCTAAATTTATATTGGGACAGTTCTGGTTGACAAAAATACAGCATAGGCAACCACATCATAAAATTTGGAGTTTTAGGCCAAACAAGAAATTAAAGAACACTTTAATCAGTACACTATGATTTGAGTCATTACAAAAGTCAGTCACAAAAGTGTAAAAGTCTCCATTTTTCGTCAAAATATGTTTTAAAACAAACATCAAATGTATATCAAAACTTCTAGTTGTGCAATGGAATAAAATTATATGACAATATTTCTCAAAATAATAACAAAAATACGATAAAAAAAATACTGTATAGAAATATTTAATGTGCTTACTTACTTCCTTCTTTAATAAAATATGTCAAGGCAACAGAAAAAATTCTGTACGGGGACGGTATTGAAAGCAAACAATACCAGTAGCAACATTACGTTTTCTATAAAGTACTGGCATTGTCTCCTAAAAACTTAACTACCTGCATAAAATAATACTTTGATTCATTGTGCTTTAATTGATGTGTGGATACTGAATTTGGAAAACTAACAACCGACTCCATAGCACTCATATGGACCGGGAAAGTAATCAGGGAATGCAATATTCCATACAATGGCAGCAGTCATCAGCCCTAGGTATAAGATGATGGAAGCCCACCAAATAACTCGTTCCCATGATCGCACTTCCAAGTTACGAAGTACCTGAATTCCAACAAGAAGTCCAGCAATAGCACCAGCCAAATGGGCAACATATCCAACCTGGAAACAGCAAAATTGAAAATAAATAAATTGCAAAATCAAACAAAAAAACTAACAGCAAGATTTAGCAGGCAAACCTAATTTGCTTACCTTATCATCGACCTCATGCAATCTGTTGTATATGGCTGTTCCGACATCTGACACTATTAGCAAAAGAAAGACAATCAACTGGTAAACAGCAAACTGCATTTCCTGGAAATTCTAAAACATACATAAAAGAATGTCAAGGACAGTTTTTGCAATTAACTTTCAAACTCATTTAAATGTCTGCTCACCATGATGATAGTAGCAATATGTGCAGTCATGATTGCATATACTCCACCAGATGCTCCAGCAAGGTATACATTTGGGTCAGAGACTGATGTTCCCAAGGACCCAGCGACTACTCCCGCCAAGTAAATAAGAAGAACACGCCACCATCGATGAACCATTTCTAGTGGTATTCCCAACATGATTTGAACCATCAAGTTGACTGCTAAATGAAAGACACTGAAAATCACAAGAAACAAAACCAATGAAAATTATCTTGCACAGCACATGATTCATCAGGACATTACCACACTACAGTAAAAAATGAACTCAATAACTCACCCCACATGTACAAACATGTATGTGAAGTAACGCCAAGCTTGTGATCTTTCACGAGGATTATAAATAAAAAGTTTTGCTGCAGGCCCACTGACTGTAGATCTGCCAGTCTCAACAACATCATACAAAAATGCAATGATCTGAAACAAGGCATACAAAAACAGTGATAATTGTCTAGAACAAAACTGACTTCGAACATTTGTTTTAATACCAGTACCCAAGCTTACCTCGATTATGCTCACAATGATCATGCAAACTGCAGGAGGATTGCATGTGTATTCATCTTCATATTCACCAGCATCAATATTATCCATGGCACGCTGCACAGCATAATCAGTAGTGTCTGTGGCTCGTTGGACAGAAGGTGGAGGTCGCCTTGGAACAATCGTCTTTCGAACAAATGTTTGAAGGCCTTGTCCAAAAACGGTTCGTACTTCTGGTTCTTGTATCTAGGAAACAAGCAAATTTTAGTAGCTCATAAAATGTTCTGACAACAATTATCTTTTTACATTATGGAAAAGACAGGATCCTCACCATTTTCAGAAACTCTTCATACTCAATATATCCATCTTTATTCTCATCTGCTTGAGCCACAATACGTTTAATACATCGATTTGGAATGTCCTGTTCAAATGATTCACTCTTGACAACTCGTTTCATTTCCGCCAATGACAGTCGTCCATCAGCATCCTCATCATACTGAAAAATAATGTAAGACAAATAAAACAATAATTTATGAGCACATGCATGTTTATTCAACATGTGAAATAGCCTTTCCTAACACTCACTTTATTGAAGATCATCTGCCAGTGCTGAAGCAAAAAAGAACACTCAGTTACTTTGGAAAACACTCCATACTATCAAGAAATTAATAAACTCAATAAATTACAAGATAATTATTCCAATTACTCACAGGGTACAGATGACCCATATTGATGGCAGTCTGGCCATTGACGTCACCTGATGAGGTCATCTTGTCTTGGGAAGAACCCTGTCACAAGGAGCACCTTAAGGTTACTACTCACTGACACTTCACTTCAGTGGATCTCAGTTCAACAGGTATACCCAAAAAAGTATACCAAGTCGTAAGTCACCACAAGTCACGTTCAAAATGCAGCTTCGAGGCACTGTCCCAGTAGAAATTAGCTCCCAAGGACAACGAGTGAACAATGGGATGAGTAGGTACTACAACTAGCAGCAAACTTGACTCCAGACTCGAGGTACTCGCAACTCAAGTCAAGTCAAGCCAACAAAGATAGTTTTATCAGAGGGCGAGGTCGCAGCGCCCGTGGGTTCCGGAAGGTGACTCACGCACTTCCTCCGCGGCCAACTTTGACGCTCGAGAGATAGAAAGGAGGCATAGATACCCGTTTGACCACATCTACACACTTACCGCTGCGGCCGTGGCTGGTCCGTTGTGTTGTCCGCCGGAATCCTCCCAAACATTCCTCTCGCCCCCCTCCTCCTCACTCACCCCCTCATCCCCGCCCCCTGCCCCTGTCAACGACCTCGATCGAGAGAGAAATTTACTCGTCGCATCGGAGGACGGGCCGTGACACGTCATGCTTTTAGGATTTGATTTACAATGAAGTAATGCCAGAAAGTTTCCCTGAAAGCATTTGTTTGAGAGGATGATTCAGGAAGCAGCTGTCCTGGATTTTTTTTAAAAGCAAGTTCCTTAGTTACACTTAGTTACAAAGTTTAGTATGTACTTTGAAATTTCTCATGTTAAAAGAAACAAATGAACGTGTTAAACGTAAACAAAAAGCTTCTGCAAAAATGTGTGTTTTCAAATAAATGTCAGATGATGTTGGTCTGCTTTTACTGATGTTGACGGTGTAAAACCGCCGAAGTAGATATGTATTGGAGAAGAAAATGAAATGAGCTAACTTTTTTGTTGCTAAAGTGATTTAATCTTTCTTGTTGTTGGCTGAGAAAGTCGATGCTATGGGTTGTTCCCTTTGCAATCAGGCAAAGGAATCTGAAGATGAAGAACCTAAGCCGAAAGAGTATTCTTGGTAAGTTGACAAATCCTGGTCGTTGAAATCTTATTTGAGTTTTATTGTGCTTAAATTATGATTCTATTTATTCCAGGGATAAAAGACCTCAGGTAGATCCTCATGATTTTATTATTGAAAACCTGAAAGGTGAGGATGTGTGCCGTACTTCTGGCTCAGTGAATGGTCAGCAGTTAGTAATACAAAACTGTTCAAACAGTATGATATTTGTTCTTGATTGTATTGATTCAATCAACATAGATGACTGTGCTAACTGTAAAATTATTTTGGGCCCAGTGAAAGGAAGGTAAGTGCTTCACTGTGTATGTTTGACATTGTTTCTATTTTGCTTTTCCCATCTTTTCTTCTAAATCATCAAATTTTCTTTCATGCAGTGTATTTGTAAGAGATTGTTTGGATTGTGTGCTTGTCGTCCCATGTGGACAGTTCCGCCTAAGGGATAGTCACCGATTAGATGTGTTTCTTCACTGCGCTACTCAACCCATCATTGAATCATCAACACACATACGATTTGCATGCATCCGTTTGCAGTACAACCATCTGAAAGGTAAAATTAATTAAAGTTTATGTTCTGGGTGTTATTTTATTGAACAATTTATTCTAATAATAATAATATCTGTATGTTTTTAATCATTATTTTCCTAAAGATCACATGAAGATGGCTGGTCTGAGTCCTTTTAACAATCTATGGAGTAGTGTGCATGATTTCACCCCTGTGGATGGTGATGGTAACTGGCGCAAGCTATCTCAGAAAGCACGACTACAAGAGTACATAACTCCACCTTTCCCACCTCAACTTCGAGAGTATGTAATCATATAAAAAAAAAAACCATTCTCTTGATAACAAATTTTGTTTGTACCTTACTGTCACAACAAAACTAATCTTTTTCGCTCCTTTTTGTCTTAGGGCAGGTTGGACTGTAACTTCTGACTCTGGACTGATACCTATCAGTCAAGGAGTTGCAGATTTCAGTGACTGGGACATATCCTTCGTACTGGTATTTGGAGATAGTGATAACCGTCAAAGTGATACCGCCTTGGAATTTCTTTCGTCACTCCTCAGGCAGAATGTGAGTGTTTTTTACTGTATCAAGTTGTGTACTGTGACTTTTCTGTATTAAAAAGAAAATTGCAATTTCCTTTTTTCTTTCAGGATAAATGTGTATTTTTATCAAGTAGGGAAGTCCAACTGCAGTCTGTGGATGCCATGGCCATTGGTCTGGAGCCAGCAGTTGCAAGTAAACTTGATAATGGGCCAGTTGTTGGCTTAGTTGTTGGTGGACAAAATATAATTGAAATATGCCTGAAGGTAGGCTCTTACCTCTATTTCTCCCTTAGAAATATCAGACAGTGATAAATAAATTACATACTTTGTTTTGTTTTTGTTGCAGTTACTGGAGGAGTGCAGTCTTGAAAATAACATATATGTAAGTCCAGATTCCAGCAGTGCCTCAAAGCAAGCCAGCAGTTTCTTTCAGTGTGCAGCAATGCACTTGGGCTGCTAAGCATTAGTCAATCGTCAGGGAGGTCCCATTGAAAAGCACCAAAAATCACTGTAGGAGATTAAATTTTATTTTTAAATGTAAAAACAAACAAACAAACAAACAAACAAAAAAAAAAGCAAAAAAAAAACACATTTATTATTTTGCTCTAGTCATCTAAGTTACCCATGTTCCTTTTAGTTGAGAACATAAATTTTATCCTGTGATTTGGCACCATACTTGGCAGAGCATGAACAAGTGCACTTTGTGTATGTTCAATTAAAGTACTAGCCATGGAAAAGGGTTTTAATTTATTCTCAGGAGATGCTGTTTCTGAGAGCACTTTGAACAGGAACTTTCAGAGCTTAGCTATCTTAATGTTGTGATTTATGCTTGCTTGACATATTTCTTTGTGATTGCACATTGTGATTGTAAACACCTCCTCTTAACGGAGGACTTGACTGACAGACAGTGTCATCAATTTATCATAAGCCGGCATCTTCGGAAACAATACTGTTACTTCATTACTCACGCCAAGTACATTCTGAACAAACAGTTTGTGTATTCAAGACTTATTTTGTATGCTCTATGGAATACTTTGGGTTAAAGAGGAGAAACTATTTTCTATCAGTATTTTTGAAGTCCGTCCAATTTTTCATGTCATGTATGTTAACTATTAACAAACGAGTGTCTCACTCCGCACTTTAAAGCAAGTAGGATTTATTTTTTTCATAGGTAGATTACATCTTTGCACCTCACAAATGTGGCGCACCCATTTTTCTATCCTTGCATTTGGCTTGACGTGCTCATTTATATACTTGAATTTAATAAAAAGTTCCAAAATCAAACTTGGTTTGCACTTCACTGCCCCCTTACGATCCGCCGCCGGGCACGCCGGGCAGGTAGGCAGCACCTCCTACGCCAGGGGGAGCCAGAGCCAGGGTCCGAGGCCGAGGGGCGAGGCAGGCTGCAGGAGCCCAGGGCTAGCCCACGAGCGAGGCCAGCAGCGCGCTGTCCGCGCCCCCTCGGGGGCAGGTCACGCCCGGCTGGAGCGGCTCCACGCACTCCCAGGTGTTCCAGCAGATGACGCGGTCCCCGTTGATGAAGCACACCTGCGGCTGGTGCGACGCGCGCAGGTCCGGGTCCTGGAAAAGAGGGCTCGTCACAGGGAAGCAACCTGGAAGCAACCGCAGCGACGCACTTCGAGCAGTCGTGTCGCGAGCGGTGGGAACCGCTCAGATTCCCAACTCGAGAACTTACTGGAACCAACTGGAAGGACAAAATAGGAAATAAAAGTGTACCCCGTGGTGCGTGTGTTCACCGTGTCTGCACCGTGTGGCCGTAAACGTAAGTACATGTTTCGCTCCGTTTACACCCTTCCAATCAAAAACGCTACTCAACGGTCTTTCCTCAAAGTCACATTTATTATTAATTAAATATTCTATTCTAAAAAAAATAAATAATGTCAATCCTCTCCATGAACGTGCGAATTCTTTTAACGGCACTACCAAAAGTCTCCCCAAATCCAAGTCTTTATTATATGAGAAACATTCACAGCTATAGTAATCAGTGGCGCATCAGTGGCGTCGTGGGGGTGCCCCATGTCTCTCTTTGATGGGGCGACGCGACGAGCCAGTCCACTTGCGGTCCAGTCCATGATGAGGTGTGGCGGCGAGAGGGACCCGCTCGGCCTGGCTGGCCTGGCTCAGCCTATGAGGGTGGCGAGCAGGGCCGGGCCGAGCGGAGCCTTGTCTGCTAGGAAGCCGGAGCAGCGCAGGGTCTTGCCCTTGCGCGAGTCGCCGATGCTGCATATCTCGGGCTGAGTCTCCGAGGAGATGCGGGGCCTTCCGTCCGGGGACTCCGCCAACGGCGCCTGCGTGCACGGCCACAACCCAAAGCAACGTGTCAAGCATGCAGTCATGCAGCAAGGCATCGACAAACACACACAGTCAGGCCCGTCAGGCCAGGGACGACTGAAAAACCATTTTCAGTCATTGACAGAAAAAGTAAGAGAAGTTTTCGCTTTTTAGAAGAAAAAGAAGAGTCAATTGTCTTTGGCCGAGAAATGCTTTTAGACGATAATAGATTTTGGATATTATTTTGCCCCAGTGACTTTCATCAAACACGGAAAGCGACGAAATGCATGCGAAAGCCACAATCCGAACAATGAAAAACTGAATATGCGAAATGATAAAAATTGATATGGTTTACAGGCCGCTTTCGAAGACATACAACGGCTAATGCATTCAAAAATGTTGCCCGCCCGCGAGAGAAAACATGAGTGACAGGGTACGCACCTGCGTGTACTTGGAGTGCCTCAGCTTGCCGCAGAAGTTCTTCGGCGACCAGTAGATGTCGCCCTCGATCTCCTCGGGCGTGGTGCCGCGGGTCGGCGTGCGCGTGGAGTTGACGGCGCCCCTCTCCAGGCGGATGTACGTCTTGTAGTCGGTGTCGCTGCAGCAGGAAGGGCGCAGGGTTACTGGGGACCGCCGCGCCCACACTGCAGGCGCCACGGCAGCCTCAGTCGACACGACTCACCCGTAGAAGTAGGTCCACCGGTTGGGGCGGCCCGCCGTCGCGTTCTTCTCCCACTTGATGTCGTTGACCTGGCCGGGGAAGCCGCCGTAGTCCAGCAGCACGGTCAGGATGTCGAAGTCCGCGTCCTCGGCGGTGCCGTTGGTGAGCTTCTGGTACGCCAGCAGGCACTCGTCCGTCACGGGGAGCTTGGCGGCCGGCTCGGTCGGCTCCGTCGGCTGGCGCTGTTGACGGGCACGGTTAGCTTCGTCGCTCTGTCTCCCTCGCACTTCAACGGGACGCTCCGTGAGTGCGAGAGAGACCTCGCACTTCAACGGGACGCCCCGTGAGTGCGAGAGAGACAGAGCGACGAGACGACCCTGCGGCCTCCCTGCATCTTACCCGCTCGGAGGCCGCCGGGGCTGCAGTGCTGGGCGCCGCGGTCGAGGTGGAAGTCGCTGCGGGGGCGGCTGCAGGGGTGGCTGCCGGGGTGGCTGCAGGGGTGGCTGCAGGGGTGGCTGCCGGGGTGGCTGCAGGGGTGGCTGCAGGGGCGGCTCCTCTAGACGCCACGGGGGTGGCTGCGGTCGGTGCGGCCGGCTGCTGCGTGTGGTCATGGTGGTGGTGGTGGTGATGGTCGGCGGGCTGGCGGGGTGCGCACCTCCCGCTCGTCTTTTCGGCGTCATCTGCTGCAAAACGAACGAAACAGCGCGGGTGAAACGAAGCCAAAGAGGCGGCGGGACCCACGCCTCGAGACGTACCGTCCGGCCTGCAGGGCGCCAGCGCGGCGAACACCTTCTTCGGGATGCTCAACGGGTTGAAGCCGCCGGCGGGGGCCGAGGGGCCCGAGGGGGCCGAGGCTTCGGCCGGGGGCTGCGTCCCCTTGGGCGCGAACACGCTGCCCAGCCCGAACTGAGGAGAGGCCGCGGGGGAGGCGGGGCACGGCACCGCGAAGAACGCCGCCACCGCCAGCACCAAGGCTACCTGTGGCCACAGGATAACGGTGTCGTTAAAATCAAAGCGCGCGCCACACACACACACACGCGCGCGCCTACACACAGACACAGAGGGCAGTATTGACGAAGACCACGCTGGGACCCACCCCTCGCCGTGCCGGCCACATCGCGCACGATGTATATCAATACTACTATCCACCCCAGTTAGCAGTCCAGCGGCCGGCCGCGCTAAAATATTCCTGGGAATTTTCCCCGCCATGACTGCATGGCTGCATAACAGAGTGGAATCGATTACCGGAGTCATCGCCATGCACAATGCACGAGGCTCCGAACCACTCGGAACGACTCGGAACCAGACGCGCCTCCGCCACTCCGGGGCGCCAACTCGTCTTGTCGACGGTGACGCACGGCAGGCGTCGCGAGGCGTCGCGACGCGTCGTGCCGCTGCTGCAGCACGCAAGCTGCACCGCCTTTTCAGAGGACAGTCACGATCGCCCTGCCGTCGTCTCGCCGTCTTGAACTTGAACGCGCAGCGCGCGCCCGCGAGAGCAGTACGAGATTGCGCGCCGAGCGCCGAGCCAGCGGCCGGCCGGGATGACGGTCGGGGGGACGGCTGGGGGGACGGCCGGGCCGGGCCGCGACGCCGGGACGGCCCTGAGCCGCAAGATGCACCCGTGAAACCGGTCCAACCCGCCGCGCCCCTCCAGGCGGGCCCCGCGGTGACAAACAAAAACTTGCGACAACTTCCCAAAGGCGCGCGCGGCGTGCACTTCGCGATGAGCGGCGCGCACTTCGCGACGAGCCGCAGGCCGCAGGCAGGCCGCCGCGGCGCCGGCTGATGTGATTGAGGAGTAATATTTTGGTGAAAGCTTTCCGAGCGCGCGTGAGTGTGAGTGTGTGAGTGTGTGTGCGCGTGCGTCCTTGTGTGTGCGGAGCAGCCTTTTCCCCAGGAGAGGTTCCGCCCACAAAAGGGGCCACGATGACGGGCGTCTCATATATGAAAGGACAGAATCGCGGTCGTCCAGTGGTGGCAATGCTTCCGATATAGAGCGTCGCAGGCTGGCCCGGGGGCTGGCCCGGGGGCTGGCCCGGGGCTGGGCCCGGCGGAGGTAAACACGAGAGCGCCGCATCTGGCGGGCCTGAGCGGACCGTCCCTGGCTGTCCGCGGCAGATAGGCCGTTGCTGCCACACCGTCTGTTTGGGCCGTATCGACAAATCCGGCAAACCACACAAAGCGCGCTCCCAGCTCCAATAAAGTATAACGCGCTGTGAATTCCTCCTCTCTGCACGGGGCCGCGGACGGACGGACGGACGGACAGACGCCCGGACGGACAGACGGACGGCTGGGGCCCCACTTAGGGAGGGGGTGGGGTGTCCACACACAGTGAGCCCCTGCTTCAATGGGAATGCGAGGAGGAGGGGGGAGTAGGCAGCAATGACCGAAAACCGCTCGCTGTACCTGGACGGCCCCCCTCACATTTCGTCTCGACATTTTCACGCGTACACAAACGTACACTCACACGCTCACACACACGCACAGACACGCTGATGCCTGGCACCGTCCCAGTACCTCGCCCGGCAAGTTCACGCGACCGTTACTCGCAGAAAATGTCTGTGCGCCAGGGACACACACACTCACGCACACACTCGATGTGTGGCGACCAACATAACAGTGCACGATATTTTGCTTCCCTCTTCGAGCCTCTTCGAGGACTCTGAAGGTTCCCCGTGGGTCTGTTTCTCCCGGGACCACAGAAGCAACTTGGAGTCGCCGTGACCCCCGACCGCACATCGCCTTGATCCTGGCCATTCAAGATCTAGGAGTCGCCTGATGGCTGTCAGCCGAGCCCACCGAGCCCGTCAGGTCTGCGGTGCTCCGATTAGAAGACTACGAATTGGGATATGCTGGGTAATCCCCTCTGACGTCAGTGCAGTCAGTGCTGGGAGCGGCGCCGAGCGGCGCCATTAGAGCCAGGGACACTTAGGCGAGGCCCTGGCCAGGGCCGTGCCGCAGTGGCGGCAGTGTGCCCACCGCCGCCACCAAGGCCCTGCTGGGTGCGCAGGTCGGGGTGCTCCGGCGGCGCGAGTGCGCTTAAAATAACTTAAAGACACTAAAACGGCGATAAACAGGAGCCTCTAAATCCAGTCCCAGTCGCCACAGCAGGAAGAGACGAGGCGGCGTACACTGCGGCCACTGCACTGTACAGAAGACGTCCCCGCGCCGCCGAGCCGCACGAACAAGGCCTGGAGCGGCCGTCGGTGCCGCCGGCCGCACGCGGAACAGGAGAGCAAGGCGGAGCAAGGTACCTGGATGTGTGTTCCCGCCATTCTCGAGCGCGGTCGCGAAGAGACTGCGATGCTCGAGCGACGCTCCTCAGCCTCACGAGTCGGGGACTGAGCGCGGCTCGGTACCACCGCGGCACGGCACGGCACGGCACGGCACAGGCACGGCACGCCGGCCCGCAAACCGGTTGCCTGCTTGCGCCCATTCGTCATCAAGGTTATCACATAGATTGAGCTTCTTTTTCGCCAACGCCTGGACGTCTTTCCCGTCCGACCGCGCCGCCATTTAAAACAACATGTCGACGATTCCTGGCGCAAACAGGCTCCCCGGGGCTGACGTGCGATCCCCTCGCCAGCTGCGGGGGAGGGGGCCGGCAACAACGTAACGAGGAAGATGTTCCAGATTCGGCCAGGTAGAGGCGCACACACGGCGGGACGCTGGAAATCGGTAAACAACGCGAGGGTCTTCTTTCCCGAAGCATCTTGTTGCAGTGGCGCGGGGGAAAGGGGGGGGGGGGGCGTGGGAGCGTAGTGGGGCTTCCCGGAAGCGAGCGTGCGGCGGCAGCGTCTCCAGGGATACGCCGTGCCCCGCCCCGCCCCACCAGTGCTCTATGCTAGGTTGTGGCTCGCGTACGCCGTGCCGCCGTGCCGACGCGACGCCGCGTGACGTACGAGACGTGGGTCCGGAGTCCCCTGCCAAGCGATGCAGAGGATTCTCTTCGTCACTCGGTCTCTGTCGCACTCAGGGGCCACGCCGTTCGGGTGCGAGAGAGACAAAGCGACGAACCGCTCGCGGCAGGAGCCCCTGCTGGCAGGCCGGGCCTCGGACAGCCGCGTCGAACGGATGGCCTATCCGGCACTCGGCGGGCGCTCCCCGTGCGGTGCGGCGCTGTGCGGTCCGGTGCACGCAATGCCCCAGTGTAGAAGCAGCTGCCTACTCGGTAAATGTGCCGCATAAAAGGCCATTTTTGGCCATTTTAGAAATCGTGAAGTTCAATAACTTTTTCATTTCCCATCCAAACCCATGACATTTATTCACGTTTTTCGTTTCTGTAAACCAATGTCATTTTGGCCAACTTTGAAAATTCCCACAATCATGCATGCTGATGTTGGCAGCCCTTTCGGCACTGGTGCATCGAGATGACTTTTGCCAACTTATGTGGCAGCACTGCCGCCGCCACACTGCCGACTCTATTCCCTGTCGAAAGAGTTCCAGGCAGCGAAGCGGACAGACGGGCGGGAAACGCAATGGGACGAATAAAAAAAGGAGGAAAAAAAAGATGCCGAAAAAAGCGGCGCGGGAGAAGTTTCCTTTCAGTGATTCTGTGAAACGCGCGTCGAATTCGCGCTTGGCGCGCTGGCCGCTGTATAAGTAAATCGCCACTGATTGACTCGCAGTATAAAGGCCAAGGGGAATAAAACTGCAGCGAGAGGTGGCAGGGCGGGGCGGGGCCGAGAGCGTGCGCTGCTTGGACAAGTGGCGAGGCACGGCGAGGCACGGCGAGGCACGGGCGACGCGAAGCGAGGTGGACAGCGGGGAATGGGAATGAGTTGCGCAGCCTCCTCCCCCTCGGGCCGAAAGTCTGAAAATTGGTGGGGGATTGCGGCATGTGACGGCCTCGACCTGTCACATCAGCCAATTCATGGAAAGCAAAAAACAAAAAACAAAAAAAAAAACTTTCTTTTGACGAGTACAGCTCTGCCCGGGAGGGCAGCAACAAGTGAATTTTGGTAAATAAAAAATAAAACGAAACACTCTTTTTTCACGGCGACTTGTGGAGTGCATTTCACGTTGAATATCACCTGGAATGGCAAGAGTGCTAAAAAGTTTGAAAGGCAACTTTTTGAAAGCAGGCTTTTTCCGCAAACAGGAAGTATCGGGCAATCTGTCAGGAGAAGCCGACGAAGCCGACCGCCTCGCCCCGCCTCATTGGCCGAGGAGGGCAGAGCATGCCGTGCTGGCGGCGGCCTCGCCTCACTCATCTCTTCATTTTCATGTACATTTTTTTGGAACCGGCACTCTGTGGTGATCTACGTCAGCAGTGTGGTGGTCAGTGGGAAGGCCGAAATGGACGTTCCATCCCCCGCCCCACCCCTCACCTGCCCGTCTCTGTGCATCCGACGCGTTGGCCCATCAGTCGATCAGATAGAAAAGGTGCGTGAATGATTTGGGCTTGGCGGCGTGCCGGGCGTGCCCCCAAATGGAGGGCCGCGACTCTGCGTCGCTCTGCCTCGCTCTGCGTGACAGGCGGGCGGTGCCCGCGGCGGGGGCTTTCAATGTGTTTCCATTAGCCGCTTCCGTACAGAGGAGGCCGCCGATTGAAACTTGTTATCGACTGAAAGAATCTCCGAGGGTCGGGCAGTCGGGCGCGGTGCTTGGCGGCGACGTGCGCGGTGCCCGGGGCAAGGCGGCAAAGGCAGCAAGCACGTCGGCGTGTGTGGCACACTGTGGCGGCCTCATCGCCGTCGCCCACACCGCGGATTTTTTCCAAAGCTCGGGCGTGTGCGCACGGCGAGGCAAGTGGGGGCTTTCTCGGACGACGCCGGGGAGCGCCGCAGCGCTGCGGCCAAAGAAAAGCTTCTTTTGCGTTGTTTTCGCGGGGGCCGCGAGAGGAGAGGCCCCCTGGCTCGGCCGGGGCAACTTCTTGCTTCGGGGTCGGCAGGCAGTCGGCAGGCGGCGGCGCGGCACTCTCCCCGCTGGCATCTCACCTTCCGACTCGGCGTGCCGAAAACCCGAAGACCACAAACAGCAAAAAACTCCGAGGGTGTGGGCGCGATGCGTGTGGCGGCCTCATTGGAAGAGGTCTGAGTGGCGAAGCAGGGGAAGCGGCAAATAGCCGTCTTGGAGGGAATGCGGTTGGAGAGGATGCGTCGGTGCCGAGACTCCGTGACTCGTTGGCTGTGTGCCCCTCCCCTTGCCCCTCCCGGCGCGCTTCCCTTCATGTGTTGTAAAAGTAACCCCGGCTAGCGCGGGCTGGCGGGGCTGGCGTCACGAACGGCCCCGACCCCAACCCGTTCCCTGACGTCCCCGACGGCAGCCCTGCCCGTCAGCCCCCTCCCCCTCTCAGTCTGCCTTCCCTCGGCCGGCCGACCCTCAGGCTTGACATCGACGGCGGTTCGCCGTGGGTTCACAGTGTGCGTGCGCGTGCCGCCTTTTCCCTTCTTTCTGCGCGGATCCCCCCGCATCCCCCAGTTTCGGGATGTTTCGGGGTCGCTGTAGGCACTGTTGCCCGCGGGGCTGGGCTGGGGCGGCGCGGCCCGACGCCGTGACCCCCGACCCCCATTTGAATGTTGCAACAACAGCGCCGGGCAGACAGGGCCCGGAAGTGTGCACGGGCCTTTGCCGCTCTCGGAGGGGTCGTCAACTCATCAACCTCATATTGCTCTTGCACTGGGTCTGCGTCAAGGGCTGCCGCGCTGCTGGAGTATTATGCAGAGTGCTTGGGCGCGTTGTTCTTGTTCACCTGGTCCAGGACATCCCGGAGCGGCCTCGGGGTCGCGCCCCGGCGTCTGCTGGGCAGGCAGTCCGTGGGCCGACGGGGTCCTTGAAAGGTGCCGGCACAGCCCTGCCTGTGATGAGGACCTCTTTGACAGCGCGGAGGTTCCGAACCCCGGCCTGGCATGATTGCGACGATGCGTCTGGGGCCTCCGGATCGCCAAGGCGGGCGGCACGGAGACGCCCCTTTCAGGGCTGTGGCTGCCTGTGGTGGTGGTCGTGGGTAGCATTCAGGCAAACCTGATCACGGTGCTACCTGTGCCGCCCGTTCCGTGCGGCCCGGTCGGCGCGCCCCCACCCCCGCGTAGTTCGCCGGCGTGCCGCTGCGCCAGGGGCGCTGGCGTCGCGCGCGTCGCGCCGTGCCCCTGCTGGGGCTGCCCGCCACTGCTCGCTTCTCATGGCCCTAGCGCGCTGGCAAGCCTGGCTGTCTCAGTCGATCGCTGGAGAGCTCGGCGAGCACACCCCATTGCAGGCGCTGCCACCCCCGACGCCCCGCACCGCGCCGCACAGACGACCAGGCCGTGCGAGTCGGGCCGAGTGGTGCCGGGCCGGGCCGAGCCGAGTCGAGCAGGACGCCCCCAGCCGAGCCGAGCCGAGCCGGGGAGCGAGTGGAGCCGGGAGTGCATCGAGGAATACCTCCAGTGGATACTTGTTGAGGACCAGCCGGAGACGCCGGAGACGTCGAGCAGCACCGGTAATGCTTCATTCATCTTTCATTCCCTCGTCAGGGCCGCAGGCGTCCGCCATGAACGGCCGCGCTCTGCTTGCCATTCGCCCCGCGTGGTCTGCCGCGCAACATTGAAAAAAATGAAAAGAAAATTCATCAAATAATATAAAAATGACAGTTTGATTCGGGCGCTCCGCTGCTAGCTGTCATCGGCGGAATGTTTCGGCGGAAACGAATCCGATCGGGTCACGCGCGGCCCGTCAGGCACGCCGCCAGCCCGCCCCAGCCCGTCACCATGTTTGTCAATCCAATTAGTGCGATGACGGCGCGATTCGCTAGAGACGCGCTGAGCTCCGAGTCCGGGAAAAGGACCCGAGCCAATCACATGGGGCACCGACCGGGAGTCCAAAGCCGCCAGCACGTGTTTGATTCAAGTCCTTTTCGAGGACCCGGAGCTCTAAACAGGTCCTCTGGCACGCCGTGCCTCGGCCTCGGCGGCCCCCAGCAAAGCCAGATTAGAAAGCCATTGTCGGGCTCATTGTCCGTGCGCCCCGTCCTTCCGCTCGGCCTCCTTCACGTCGGCCACCTCGTCGTCCGAGCCCGCCGAGCCGGCAAGCGTTCGGGGATGATCCGGGCCGCAGACCGCGAGGCACGGCGAGGCACGGCGAGGACGACGATAATGTTTGGTGGCCACAAGCCGATTGGCGGGGACCCAGGCCGGGGACTAGACGCAGGGACCCGGGCCGGGGCTGGGGCGCGGGGCGCAAGAAGAGCGCAAGGACCCAGTCTGTTATTCCGGGGAAGGGGTGAGCCCACCCGATCTGCGCTCTCTCTCTCTCTCTCTCTCTCTCTCTCTCTCTCTCTCTCTCTCTCACTGCTGTTCACATGCATATCGCACCAACACTCATGCAAACACATTCACACGGACGCACACACACAGTGGCG